GGAAGATTAGTGAGACAATTAAAGAAGAATTTTGAGTTCTTAACCCTGTGTATCTTCTGGGACTCTGTTTTTCAGAGTGACATTACAACATTTTTGGTTAGAATTTTATTTTTCAATAATGTCAACACAGTTTAAACACTTTGTTGCTGAACAGGAGCAGACTGTCCCTGGAAGCATTCACAAACCATGTAGATGAGGCCCTCAATGATACCCTTTAGTGGTGGTCTTGGCAGTCCTGGGGTAATGGTTGGACTTGATGATCTTAAAGGTCTTTTCCAACCTAATTGATTGTATGATTCTAAGTTTTGAGCCCTGTGTGTGTGCCTCAAGGATTGCTGCACTCAGTTTTCTCAGTGTAGATGAGAAACACAGTATGGTTCTAGATTCACAGAACAGTTTTCATCCATTCTCTTTCTAAAATTACTTTCTATGTACAGTATGTATGTGTGGGGGCATCAAATGTCATGTGGTATTGAGCTACTTGTATACAGAAAGTGTGTTTTTTTTAATTAGGAAATGCTTTTCCATAGTTTGTGTATATGTACTGAAGTCTATAGCTGAGTATGCTTAAATGAGGGTAAAACTTGGTTTTGAACCTCTGGCCGTGTTTATGTTGGCATTTGGGATGTTTCCATAGAAAAAAGGGTATATAGAACAACACACTTGCATGTCATATACAGTTCAGTGGTTTATGCTGAATTAGTTAAAATCTAGTTCCCTGAGCTATACCTTCTCACTGCATTAGCTTTAAGGCTTCCAGGAAGAAGGCCTGTGAATGTGAACCTTTGCTTCCCCATCATCAGGACTTTTCATCATGACGTGCATGCTTGTTTTCTGCAGGCCAGGTGACAGACAAAGTTTACCAGTGCTATCCGTTAAGATCTCTTCAAATGGTGTGAATGTGTTGTGTTGACAAAATCTTCATGACCTTTCAGAAGTAGGGAGTGTTTCACAGTTTCTTCTGTTGCTTGGTGTAGGGAAGCCACAGTTTCAAAACAAGAAGAGGCTACTATGTAATACAGAGTTCAGTTGACCAGCAGGGTAGATCTTTAGACGTTTTGGCAGCTTTCCTATGTGTTGGGGGTCATTCCAGTTTCTTTTGTTACACTGACCTTGGAATCAGAACATCTGCTGAAAGACAGAGCTGTTCATGGTGTTTGAGTGACCATTTGTGTTCCAGTAGATACTAAGTAATCCACATGTGCTACTGCCATGAGCTTATGTCTTTAAATATGCGGCAATAGAGTGGGAACAAGGTGGTAAGAGAGGTGCAGATGTTGCAGCTCTCCTTCTCAGTGGAACTCATAGAGGAGTGTAAAATAAGTTTGTTGGCCTTTGAGTGCCTGGGAGGGTTGCAGCATGCTTACCTGTCACCTGCAGCTGTCCTCTGCAGCCATGAGGTGTTCAAGGATGCAGTATTCTGAAACTTGTCCATCTTGGTTAGAGAATAGGTTGGAGTCAAGGTGAAGCCAGGCTTTGAACAGAGTAGCCTGTCTGGTACGGGGAGCTTACTTCTGTGCCAGTCATCCCTGTGCTGGGGTGGCTCTGTTTGCCTGTATCTACAGGTCCTGTGAGGAGCCATGTGTTTGGACAGGAAGAGACAGATCAAAGTATTTCGTGTTAAATAGTGGGAGGAGGAGGCTGCTGTGATAATGTCAACCCTTCTTTACTTTTTTTATTCTGAATTAAATGGTAGGTAAAAAATGACCTTCTGGCACAGTGTGTTACTGGATGAGGCCTTGGTGGGTGTTTTGACAGTGTTTGTTACAAATCTGCTCTGTGCTCTACTGCTTCCCTGGATGGAGGAATAATGCCAGTTCATGTGCGTCAGAGATTACACAAAGCATTATGAGTCTCCTTTTACCTCCCCTTCTCCTTTAATCCAGTAGTTTGCTTATGTCCCCATTTTTCACTGATTTATGAAACGTCTTGTTACCAAGTCAGTATCTATTAGAAATGGGAGTATTATGACACACTCTTCTTTTTCCTCCTCTGGGTTTATCCCCTGGAACTCATTTCCTGACTGTGAACCCAATGTTGAAAGCAGGAATGAAAGTTGGTCTTTACCCAGTGTTTTACTGTGAACAGGTTGTCAGTGCCAAATGTGATGGAGAAGGGTAAAAGGAGATATCTTAGATGTGTCTTTCCAGGTGTCTTCTGTAGTCAGTGACAGAATTTCCTCTTCACTGATGACCTTGTTATGGCCAACTTAATAGGAAGATAGGTAAGGACAAGAACTAAGAAGCAAAATTCATAAGAAGCCATAGAGCTTCTTTCGCTGGAACCAGATTAATTTTAGGTATTCTTAATGCTGTATTAAAAATAGAGAGTGCTGGTACTATCTCAAGAGTAGGAAAGGAGGAGGTGGTGTTGAAAAGAACAGAAATGAGCAAGTGAAACAAAGTTACTCTGTGAAAACAACAAAGGTGGGAGAAAGAAGAGACAGTATGGAAACACTGCGGGCGGTGGAACTGGTGAAGTAGAATGCAACCAGAGAACTTGATGTAATGCAAAACTTCCTTTTAATGGATTAGAAGCCTTTAAAAGGCATCATCCCAAAGATAATGTCTTCCCTGGGGATTTGTTTGAATTGCTACTGGATCTGAAAGAATACTTTATTGAAGAGGCTTCGTGGTAAGCTTTGTAAAACTAGGGTCTTACAAAGACTAGGGTCGGGTTTGGGGTTCTTTTTCATACTTCTTAACTAGTAGCTCGACAGGCATTGTCATTTCTCCTTTCCACAAAGAGTTCATATTCAGGTTATTTTTGCATGCTTTTCCCTGTAGCATGCTGTGCATCTCTCCGTGTTGATCTGATCCAAGTATAGAATGACACACCTTGAAGTCATACTGTGCCAGAATTAGCTTTATAATTAGCTTTACCGTAAGAAGAAATTCTGGGGAGAAGGTTGTGTTTTTTTTCCATTTGCTTCAAATTAACTGAGCACCAAACTATTTTTAAGAAGAAATGTAAAATTGTCAACCAAGGTAGTGGATGGAATTTTCCATGTTGGCTGTTCCTGTGATTTTGCTGTCATGGGGGTCAGAAGTCCACATTGAGATGAATATCATATTCTTCAGGCAGAGATTTCATCTGGACATTGTCTTTACCAAGTTTTGGTGGAGAGAGGCTGGAAACCAGCTGTTGTGGACTCAAATGACACCAGGGTGAAAGGTAGAGGAGAGGAGAGGTTTATGTAGGGAATGGGACCTCATCCTGGCTAAGTGATGAGGTTGCTGTTCTCTCTGGGAGCACGCTCCAGGGACATTGCAATGGCTGATGAGTGCGTCCTTACAGCAGTTATTCTTTTTATAGCAGGGTGAAGAATATTTTTAATTAACTCCCTTATATGGCCAGAATAATTTCCTTGTTCTAAAATACTTGATCTGTTTTTCATAGTGGAAAGGGAATGCCCTTGAAAATGAAATGCATCAACTGATATTAGCAGTTCAAAACCAAGCAGGTATAGTTAGTGTAGTGAAGTGTTACTTTATGCACTTTACTCTGGATATTTGAAACCAGTTACTTTTTGTTTGTGTTTCTCATCTCAGATATAGACAAGTGAAATAAAATTTTAATGTATAAAAGTACTCAGTTTTTACATAATTATATAGTACATTGAGCAACCAAATGTATTTTTAATATTGTTCAGTTTCTTGATATTAGCAAAACATGCATTTATAGGTAGATTCAAACTTTTTGTTAATTATGCTATTTTTTGATAAGGCTCTTTTTAATCTTGTAAGACAGACAATAAAGATACAGATGACCAGATAAGCTTGGGACAACAAAAATATTCAGTGAGTGAATATGAAATCTTGGTTCAGGTCGTTAATGTTCTGCAGACAGTTGACAGCAATATTAGCATTACAGAATTGTGGAAGAAATTGTAGCATGAGAGAAATTTTACAATCCATTTGTTTTCTGCTTTGGCAGATTTTAATAAAGAGGAAAATAATCTGGCATCTTTAAGCTTGATAGGCAAAACTTGGTGTTTGGTGTCTAAAGCCGGCTTGAAGGCTTTGTGTTCCTGTAATTTTTATGAGTAAGATGTAAGTGAAGATTCAGACAAACTCATTTCAAATAAAACTTTATTGCAGTGGGTATTTTTCTAATTGTCACAACAGGGTTCCTTTAATAAACTGTGGGGTGACAGTTTCTGTGCAGCTCAGTCTTTTATCTGAGTTTCTTTGCACTAAACACTATGTTATTAGCACAAGTCTCTTAACTTTAGAATTGGTATGGAATTGTTATTTGGTGGAAATTTTTAGTTGTGATTTTATTAAAACCAGGACATTATGATTTCCATGGTTTACAGAAAGACCTATATGGAATTCCTGTATTTGTGTTGCCCAAGTGGATGTAATCTAGGAAGTAAAACGATAAAGTGATGAGATGTGCTGGGAAGCCAGAAAGGAATTTCAGAATTGTTTAACTCCGAATTGATTTTTCTACCTGACGTGTCACAATCTTTGTGAGTAAGGATGTAAAGGATTTAAATTCTGTAATCCTTGCTTCTTGAATTCTGAAGTATTATTAGAGATAATGTTAGTTTCATTAACCTATTAATTTTTTAAGTGCTTCCCTGATCTTAGAGATAAACCCTTTAGTTTAAAAAGCCTTTATGGTCAGCAGCCTGTCTTAAATAATTTTTCTGACCATTCTTCAGCAAGATCAAGTGAGTATGTTCTGCTAATTTATTTGTCACTCTGTAGTGATGTGTGGCAGCTGAATGAACACAGGTTTTCCTGAACTATACAGTTTTTTTAGCTTCTAGTCACAGAAATAATGACTGTTTGTTCTGGGGAAGTTGAAGTAATGAAACTGGCTCTGCAGTTTGATTCGATGAGCTGCGAATCACACATTGATGATGTATCTTTCATACTTTTCTCTCTTCTTGTGCCTGGCCTTGTTAACAGAATTTGATACTGAAGTTTTTCACGTGCTTGGTGGCTTTATGTAGGTGTCACAGAGCTCATCAGATAAGCTTCTAGTACTGCAGAGCCCTCGCCTGAAGTAACTGCTGCTGTGCTAGTGTGAGAGAGCACATTTCTGAAAAGGAGAGTTTCCAGGGAGTGAGATCATATCCAGGATGAGGCAGTATGTTCAGGTTCCAACTGTTGAGCAAGAAAAAGCCTATGATTATAATTCTGCTTTTGAACCAAGACCATGTATGTGTTTGGGTAGGTGAAATTACCATTTTCTGATAATGTGGACTGCTTCTTACTGCTGTTGAGTAGAATAAATGTGTTTAAAAAGAACCCGTACAGCTGGTTAAATATGTTCAGTTTTTAACATGTGGAGTGCATGTTGCGGGACTCCTTTAGCCGGAGAGAAGGTGCCTATTTTAACTCAGAAAATCCCATAATAAGTAATTTTAAACCTTCTGTGTTGACTATCATGTAAGTGTGAACTTCTCTGTAGATACTGCTTTATCCTTTATATTTACTTGTATAAAATGACAGAGATGTCTTCTAGGGGCAGGCTTAAATTGTCATAGGAATTTTCGTCGATAAACCTGCATAAAATGAAGTGGGTTCCTTTTGCCTGGCTTAGTGACCGCGTTCTGTAGACCTACAAAACAGCTTATTTGTGTGAAGCGAATGTGTGCTCTGGATCAACTTTTGTATGGGTTAAATTGCTTAGCTTCTATCTGTCTTTTACAACATTCATCTTTTCCAGTTTATGTTGTGAAATGTTCCTATATTTTGTTTTATTTCTTTAAGTCTATTTTCAATGTATGTTGTTAAGACTTGATTTTTGTGCGATGTGTTGGGGTTTTAATAGTCATGCTTCTTTTTAACCTATTCCTATGTTTTTATTAATCTTAACTGATTATATCAAAACTGAGCAATAGTTAATGGTTTTTTCCACAAAATCTGTCTAATGACTGTTAACTGTTTTGGGATTTGCCTTTGGTTTCCTTTTTTTCTGTGTTGTTTGGGGAGTCTGTCACCTCATTATTTTTCTGATAGTGCTCTGCTTTAATTTCTCTACTGATAATACCTTTGGAGGCTGAAAGCTTTGATAGATTAACTCTCACTTTGTGGTACTTGAATTCTGTTGAATGTAGAAAGTTCTTTTAATGACATTAACATACTAATTTTGGTTTTATATTTTAATTTTAGAGAATTCTTTGAAAAGTTTGTTGTTTTGTGTTTGCTTTAGGGTTTTCTCATGTAAAGCATATGTAATTAAATACACAGCCATGTAAAGATACTAGTGAAAATCCAGTGTGGGGAGAAGAGAAAATTGTCAAATCTTATATTATATACTTAGCTAGGGATTTTTCTTTATGTCAAAATTCACTGTGTGCCATAAATGTGAAGAGCAATATTTGAACAATATGGAGTTTCCATTAACTGAAACCGTCTGATACGGCTGCCAGAACGAGTTGGTGCTGTTACCTGATAGACTTTATCCTTCTCGAAGGAGTAATTGTGTGCAGGTTTTATGTTAAATTTATGTCATTAACACAGTTCTGAAAGAGCATCTGAAGATTTAAACTGTGGTTCTTTGCAAAGATTTTCTTCTTCTGTCACATAAAGAAGAAACTAAAAGATTTTTTTTTTTAACTGCCTCTGTCTTGCATGCAGTATTTTACAGTATTTTCTGTTCTTGTTACATTTTCGGTAGCTGAGGCAAAATATTTTGCTGCAGTTGTTGTAATAATATTTTGTTACACTGTTTGCTCTGGACCAATGCTAGAGGTCCATAACGTAGAAAATCAAGTAGGAAGACACAAGTACCAAGAGTATTGAGCCAGGTGCAGAGCTGCGTGTTTAACTCAAGAAACATTTAACAGGATGAAGTCTTGTTTTGGTGGATTTTGATGATCTTACTTGAATTTCCCAATACTGAGTGATATCTTATACACTAATAACTCATTTTTTTATCATGATTTCACTTTTAAAATATTGCACAACATTCTTCTCAGTAGAATGTTTTTGTGCAACTGAATCATTTGCTTTAAGTCAAGCAGATTTTTAACCTCTTTTGATACCTACATTTTCTAGTGGCATATGAAATGGCTTTGATTTTTACTACTTTGTACCTGCAGCTTTTAGTAAATGTAGATTTTTACAGTGCTTACACCTCACCGAGATGTCAACAGGAATCACAAGAGGAATTTGACAGTAGTAATGAAGTACTTTTTCATACAAAACATCTCAATATTCCAGTTGTTTATTCTTTGAGTGTTTTTTTGTTTTCATAGTTGTGTATTGAAGTTATAAGTCTGTGTTCATCTTACCGGTAATGTATGACTCTCTTAATTCATGAACTGAGTTAAAAGACCACTGAGGAAATCTTAAAGTGTGCTTTTAAACTCATATATATATCTTTGACAACTGGTTTTGATTAAATAATTTGCAAGAATTAAGTTGTCAGACTATGAGCAGAATTACCTTTTTTTGTCCAAAAGACAAGTAGTAGCAGAAAACAGGGGGAATAGGGGGAGAATGTCTACTCATGTCAAATCTTGTCATAAAAACAACTAAGGTTACTTGGATATCTGAAGTAAAGAGATACAAGTCCTGGTGTATTTGTCTAATATTTCTTCACAGCGTGAAAAGTTTGCAGATAAATTGTAATCATCAGAGTTAGTGCCAGGATGCCCTTCATTCTTTTCCCTATTTTGATTTGTAGCAAAAGCTTTTACAGCTTTTACTGTCTTTGGCAAAGTATTTTAGGATTTTTTGAGTACCTAAATGGATACCTGTAATAAGATATTTGGCTACTCTGAATGCGCTGGGTATTGAGATTTGGAAGACTGATGAAAGCCATTGATATGCATGCATAGTTGGGTATTTATTAGTGTATTGTTTTCTACTTTGTGGCTCTTGTGCATCAGAGCTGATCTGAGACCTGACCAGTGAGTTGGTCTCATACTGTGTCCACTGGAACCTTTAAAACCTGATATGTCAAAACATTTAAATTCCTTTTGAATAAACCTACACTGATGAAATAGTTGGATGATGTGTCTGAAAGCTTTTTTATATTTTTTTTGTACTGAGTTTTTACCTTCAGGTGATATTTTTTAATATAAACTGGAATTATTTCAATATTCTAGTAGTCCTGAGTGCTAGAAAAGCTAAACCATAGGATTCTGTCTTTTTAAAGCAGGCAGTATGAGACTTTTAATAAAATTGCAAGTTCCATGTATTGTTCTGATGATCTTTAAGTGTATTAGTAGTAGAGTAGAATTGAGATCAGAAAAATTCCTTTCTCCAAGTGACTGTCTTTTGCCTGGTGGCCAGTGAAATAGTGGAATATTGAAGCTAGTGTTTCATGTTGTGGTTTCTATTGCTTTATATATATGCCTGTAAAACTTCATAGTTGACTTTGTGGAAAAGTGAACATAGCACACATTTAGATATATTTTGAAATGGTGATCAGTCAGAATGAAGATGACACAGCAAATGAAGTACTCTTGGTTTTAATATTACTAAATTTATTTATCTTTCTGCCTGTGTATTTTTTAGGATGGCAGGCACATTTCTAGTACCCAAGATGCTTGCATGTTTTCCTCTTGTGTTATATTAGTAGTGTTGCCTATTTGACTTCTCAGTCGTTTTCAATTACCTTCATTTTGCTTTATTGCTGGTAGTAACAAGAAGCTGAACTCACTCTTTCTCCTCCTTGCTTGTCAGCTAGTCACTTCAAATGAAAACACCAGAGTTCCTAAAACTGAATTCTGAATTCTGTTGGGTGAATCTCTCTGCAGGAGTGTGTTGCTGCTGTGCTGCTTTGAGACCTCGCTACAAGCGTCTGGTAGACAACATATTTCCTGAAGATCCAAAAGTGAGTGATGACTTTAACAGTTTAAGGGATTGATATTTGAAAAAAATTGATTACTAACTAATGCTTTATATTTTATTTTTTTAATTTTTTTTACAGTAAATTCTGCTTTAGCACTTTGTAGCTTTAATAGAAGTTAGCAGAACAATTTAGCTGGAAAGGAACCTCTACAGATCATCTAGTCTAATTCTCTTCTCAGAGCAGGGCTGTGTATATTGAAGAGTAAAATTAGGCCGTTTTGTTCAGAGAAATAGAGATTTAATTAAGCAGGGTATTCTGCAACAGAGGTAGCATTTAGTTTCGTATGTACTTAAGAACTGTTTATAGTTCTGTGGTTGCAGGTGTGCACACTTTCTGATTTTCTACAAGATTTTAATTTCCTAACTCTTGATGTATTGACAGTGTAAGTTTTTCTTGTTCTGTAGACTGTTGTGATCCAAAAGGGGTTTTTTTGGTCGTTTTGTTTTAATTTCTCCAGTTACTCATATACACTGGAACAGTCTCAGTGCTATATTAAAGCCTGGTTTTTACTCTCTGAAAATAAGCAGCAGTGCATGTATCTGTACATAACCATGTGATGGTTCACACTGATCAAGAGCTTATGTATGGGCTGCAGTAGTTTTTTAAATGTGTTACCAGATCTTGTTCTCTTGTATTACAGCAGAAGCAAGCAGAACAGTCAGCATTTGTATAACATTTTCCTTATAGCTTACAAAGTATGTGGGCTTTTCTTTAAAATATGTTGTTACTGAGTACTGATTACTCTCTAAATGTATGTTACTGGCTGCAAGGGAAATGTTTTCTGCAGATACAGTGTGTTGAAGGCATGGAACAACATGATTTCATAGATTTATTTGTTTTAATCTGCTTGCTTGGTACAGGTTTAGAAACACCCAGAATTACTACAGTTGTAGTCTTACAGCTTTAGTCTGACTCAGGAGCTCTGAGATGGCACTCCTTAGGCTCTGTTTTTTTTTAATGTTCATGGGCTTAGTGCAGGATGAAGCCAGGCCATGATGGTTTTTGCCTGTGTTAGAGAGAAACATGAGAAGACTTGCTTGATACAATGTATTAATTAATGATTGTGTTAAAAGCTTCAAAGTAATTTATTTGAAAAGAAAAAGACAAAAAGCCTTATCCTTCTTACCTGGTAGTTACAACTACAGCCTCGGGTTGTATAAAGTACAACGTTTCATGTTGGAACTAATATACTAATCTTTGCTCTTGTTCTATACAGTTATTGTTCAGGTACCCTGTATGTCAGCCTTGTCCAAGATATGACACTGGCAAATAAAATATTTAAAGTGCAATCTTGTTTGTATGTAGTGTCAAAATTATTCATCAGATACGCTTTCTGGGAGGTGAAGGGGAAAAGCAAAAGATTATATTGTACCAATAGGAAAAAAGTGTGTCTTAGAACTGATGATATGTCTCACTAATAATTTCTTTTGAATACCTGTCATGTGTTGCCTCCCATCCCCCCAGAAAAAGATGGGAGAAATAGTTGCTTTATTTCTTTAAAAAATATTGTACTTTTTTATGTTGCTGACTTTTGCAGCAAAGCTGATGACAATTTTGCTCAAGTTGTGTGTTGTTCGGTGTTTTTTCAATAGCTTGTTCCCATCTGTATGGCTCAAAACTTTAAATGTTGAGTAGGCAAAAGGAAAAATACTTCAAAAGCTTTATACTTTCTGTGAACTTTTTTGCTTTATGTATTTTGTATGTCTGCTTTTAGGATGGTCTTGTTAAAGCTGACATGGAGAAGCTGACTTTCTATGCAGTGTCTGCGCCAGAAAAGCTGGATCGAATCGGCGCTTACCTAGCAGAGAGACTGAGCAGAGATGTTGTCAGACATCGCTATGGGTAAGGAAATAAGTTGCAGCATTTAGAAATAGATGTTAACATGTTTTTTCAGCCCTTTTGGCTAAATTGCATTTCAGTGGGATCTTTGAAACACTTTCATACTCTTAAGTCCTACTTGAGCTCAAATTTTAACGAATATGGAGTCAAAATAGGGAAAAGATTTTTAACGAATGTGAGAATGGAGTAGGAAAATACTGAGTCTAAGAAGTAGCAGGATTCGGAGAAGAAAGGCAACATCCACCACAGGCCATCAGTTTTGGCTTTCCATGATGTCAAAAGCTATTTTCAGAAACTTTATAGAATGAGTAAGTGTCCATTGTTTAGGGTAATTAATTTTGGTCACTGCTTTCTTTACTCTTTTTTTCTACTTACTTTGCATGTTGTTTGCTTGTCCAGGGGCATGGCTTTCCAGACTGCGATTTGGATAGAAGGAGGATCTGCAGACTAGAAAGCTGGAATTTAGAAGTTAAAATAAAATGTGGTAGGAAAGATAACTGGACTATATTTACTCTGTTACCAAGTATTATGACATCCCTTTTAAAAACACTCATTTCACTGCTGCCTGCCTCCCCCCAAAAACAAAGAAGAAAAAAGAAAAGAAAAATGAATGTAGGAAATACCAGTAACTTCAATTTTTAGACAGCGGGATATCTACACCTTCTGTTCTTTCTTTTCTAAGTTTTGCTATACTAAGGACCTAACTTGAGCTAATTGCAGTAATGATACATGTAGCACGTCTTTATGTATGTCTTATTATTTTTCAGGTATGTTTTAATTGCCATGGAGGCATTAGACCAGCTCCTAATGGCTTGCCATTCTCAAAGCATAAAGCCCTTTGTGGAAAGTTTTCTTCATATGGTGGCCAAGCTTCTGGAATCAGGAGAACCAAAGCTTCAAGTTCTTGGAACTAATTCTGTAAGTAAATTGAGATGCTGAATGAAATCAGAGTAAAGCTTTGCTTATTTGCTATGGGAAAGTGGTTTCAGAAGTCACAAAATATTTGCTAGTTACCATGAATTGAGAAGCTTCTGTATGTGTAAGCTTATACCATTTGGCCCAAACACAGACCAGACACCAGCTGGAAGCAGACTCTGTTTCCTTCCAGTCTATAAAATGTCTTTTGGTGTCTGGGCTCATCCCCTGCAGAAATAATTTTGTCTGGAAGGAACAGGAAAACTGGTTTGAGAGTTCATATTTTGGATCTTTAAACAGATCTCCTGGACACATTGTGTAGGTAAGAGAGTGGTGGGTTTGTTTTTTTTTTTTTAACTCTCCAGCAGTGAGAGCAAAGGTGTAGGAAGGAGGACATAACATCCTTCTCCACAGCACTGACACTACACAGAAGGATTCCTATTAGCTGAAAAGTAGCCAGGGGGTTAAAATATTCAGTGTTACAACCTCACCGTTAGTAGCTTAAATATTTCAGGATTCAGATCCAGGCTTAAAGGGCATAACTAAAAGTGTCAAAATGAAGATTTGGAGATCTGATTTTCCAAATAGAGTGGTGGTTGCAATCAGTATTCTAGTTCTGTAACACTTGCCTTCTAACTGCTGTATTTCCCAGGTGGTGCAATACAAATTTCGCAAGTTCCTGGATTGTGATGTGGACTATTTTAACTCTGTTTGAATGCTTTTACATGAGTAAACAAATAATGCCATTGTTAGCAGTGTCAGGGTTTCTGGAGCCTGTAAAACAGTTGGGCTTTCATTTGGGCATGATTTCCAGTTCATGGAATAAAACAGAATTGCAATTCGTGGAGATGGGAGGGCATCATAGAGTGGTGCTACTCTGAAGTAGAATTCCTTATTGTGGTGAAACGCAGTGTTCTTGCTCTGATGCAGGAGTGTCCCCTTCTCCCCCAGAATATCAGCTTTACTGACGGTAATAAGGATAAATATATCTCATTTCATTTTATACACACACATATATATATAGAGAGAGATTTATTTATTTCAATACATTTGAGCCAAACTACCCTACTTCTTTCAATTTGTTCTGTATAATGCCTCAGTGAGATCTCTTAAAGGAAATAGCTTTGGAACTATTCCTGGGCTGCCAAATAGCAAGATGTGCATCACTTCCCAGTTGTTTAAAATCCATGGTGGCAAACAGTTATTACCAACCTCCACTTCATTGTACAAGATGTAAGTCACTTCTAATCGGATTCTGTTGACCAGAACTCCACCTCATGGTAATTTCTTTGATATTCCTGTCAGTTCCTAATGAAGTCTTTTATAAGCAAAGCAGATTAATGGACTTCCTAAATTAGGAGCTAATTTGTGTTTATCTGTTACAAAACTCAGTTACCAAAAATTGTTACTTTTTCCTAAATAAGGTGTTGGGATTCTGTGAGGAGAGTGGATCTGTGAGGTTCTTCAGCAGTATCCCACAGCTAATTTCAGCCTAATTGTGCTAATTTCCCTAATAGATGAAAAGATGGATTCTATTTGTGTTGACTGAAGAGAAGCAAAGTGTTTTGGCACTGGCAGCCTGTCTGTTACCAAGGACACTGACCTACTGTGCTCTTAAATAAATTTTGTTAGACTTAGTGTAAGTTTTCCATCACATTTAGCCTCTTATTTTTTCCTCTCTTCCTGAAGGAAATAAACAAACAACCAAAAGAGTAGAGATAGAGGCACTCAATAATATTTCACATGCTGTAGTTATTCTGGTGCACCACTTTGGAGTGGAAATGCATACTGAAGAGAAGAATAAATCGTATATAAAGTAAAAGTCTTTAAGCTGATAAAAGTCAGACAACCTTTAGAAAGTTTCCATAATACTCTTAGGTTAAACTCAATTTCAGATCAATACAAATTTATAGTCTCCTTACACTTAAGAAGTTGTGGCTATAAGGTGATCTTTATTTTCCATCCCAAAGCTGGCTTTCAGAGATTCACTGGAAAGCTCTCATCACTTCAGAAAGGCAGTGATGTTTTCATCACAGATAAATTGTTTGTTTTTCATTTATGTAGTTTTATGCCTGATCTTCAGGTTACATATAATTAATTTCTATTACTTTTTTCTATATTGCATTTGTAAGTTAAGTTTATTTCTTGCAGCAGCAATGATTTTATTTTTTTTAATAAAAAATTATAAATCTATACAGGCAGATACTTTGAAATTCAATAGTGCATGTAGAATCATAAAATCATAGAGTAGTTAGGGTTAGAAAGGACCTTAAGATCATCTAGTTCCAACCCCCCTGCCATGGGCAGGGACACCTCATCACAGATTTTCACCCAAGGTCTTGTCCAACCTGGCCTTGAACACTGCCAGGGATGGAGCATTCACAACCTCTCTGGGCAACCCATTCCAGTGCCTCACCACCATAACAGGAAAGAATTTCCTTGTTATATCCAATCTAAACTTCCCCTGTTTAAGTTTTAACCCGTTAACCCTTGTCCTGTCACTACAGTCCCTAATGAAGAGTCCCTCCCCAGCATCCCTATAGGCCCCCTTCAGATACTGGAAGGCTGCTATGAGGTCTCATTGAATCATAGTACAGTTAGGGCTGGAAAGGACCTTAAGGTCATCTAATTCCAACCCCCCTGCTATGGGCAGGGATGCCTCGCCCTAGACCATGATGCCCAAGTCTCAGTCCAGCCTGGCCTTGCGCACTGCCAGGGATGGTGCATTTACCACTTCCTTGGACAACCTGTTACATGTTGAACTGTGCTACTTTTTTTTTTTTATGTAGACCAGATTTCAAATTGGCAGTGTCTATGAAGTTCAAAATGGCTTTTTCTATCTTGGAAGATATTTTTATTAACCATGTGCTAGGAAAGCATATGCTGGTGAGGAAACTGAAAGAATGTGGTGGGGTAAGTGAGATTTCCTTGGCTTAAGTATTGCAGAATCTGAAGGCTGATGGCAGTAAGTTACATAGGAGCTTATGGCAATGCTAAATTTCTCTCTCTGTTTTGCAGAATTTCAGTAACTGATGATTATGGAAAACGTGTCTCTCATGTACAAATAATTGTGTTGCTTAGATCTATAGTGGTTATATTAATAGGATAGAATGAATTAATTGTTTGCTCTTCCTGTCCAGGGCTGAAAAGCTTTAAAATCTTTGAACTTGTGGTCAAAATTTTTGTGATGAGAGAGAATTTTTTTAATATTTTAATTTTTTTTGCCAGTTTTTTTCAGGAGGGTCCAGAAAATGTTTTTAGTGAGCAGCTGGTCAGTTACAATAGGGTGTATCATTTAGTAAAAGTTTCATCTTAAACTGTGTTGGGAAAACTCGGTTGAATACAAACCATTTTAAGTTAATTTGGAATGCTGATGGGGTGAATTCTTCTTTGTATTTTGATAGTAAAATATTGTTTTTTCATCTAAAAAATAGCAGTCATACGTAGAACCCAGTATTACCAAACTTTAAATTTACCATAAATGCTTTCCTTAGTTATTTGGGTGCTTTTCTTCAGAAGGGCACTTTCTTCTCGGGAGCAGTGAAATAATGATACCAGCAGTGATAGTGTTTGCCTTTCTGTGCATGAGAAGGTGACTTGTTTTGCTGGTTGTCATAACTTCTTATTCAGAAGAAGACAAGCAGTATCCCAAGCAGAGAAATGAGCAGTGCCTGATATAACAAGATTTCTGTATTTATTAATGTTGGCTTATAAAAGCAGTTGGTTTTGGTGGAATTGAAATACGTGTGTATGTAAAAATAGTAGAAAATGTCAAGACTGTGAAATTAAGGAATGTCAGGATAAATATTCCCAGTAGATTACTTATTTCTTTGTCTTGTTTGTCTGCAGTATAGTGATGTAGAAGTATGTGATGGAAACTTACCTTTGTTACAAGGTGTTTCTTTCATTCCATGACCAATGTGGAATTCGTAGGATCACACAATGTTTTGAGTTGGAAGGGACCTTAAAGATCATGTAGTTCCAGCCCCTTGCTGTGGGCAAGTACACCTTCCACTAGACCAGGTTGATGAAAGTCCTGTCTGTTCAAGGACCCCTTTAGGTACCAGAAGCTACTCTGAGATCTCTCTGGAGCATTCTGTTCTCCAGGCTGTGCAAGCCCAATTCTCAACCTGTGCTGATTTAATATACAATAGAGCTATTTAATCTCTAGGATCCCTGCTTCATCTTTTTTTACAATAGTTAAAGGTACAAAGTGACAGAAGTACACAAAGCACTCTTTCTCATCCTTTAGGTTATTAAATTATCTTCTAAATTCTGTCTGCATCTACTAGAATTTAAGTGATGCTGAATAAGTCACTTCAGACAGTCCTCTTAGGGTCAGTCACAGTTACGTATTGCTTTCCCCACTTCATGCTCTCTGGTCTTGCAGTTTCATAGCCCCACTTACTAAGTGTCTTGTGAGCCCAGACACCATTAGTGGCTTTGTTACACAAGTGTACATGTTGCATTCAGGATAATTTTCATCCAAGTGGCACGAAGTAAAAATAGAAAGTTAAACTATTCATCTTATGCTGATAAAACTCAAAATGAGCAATGTCTGCTGACCTATCTGATTATTTGTGATCATTTTAATACTGTATTTGTGAAGTTAATGCATGAATATGGTGTTTGAAACTTTCCTGTTTAGAAAAGTGGAAGTGTTTGTCTTGTTTGTATATTTTGGTGAAGCACATGCATGTATTCACACACTTATTAATGCTGTCCTGTGAAGTTTAGAAGAGTCTCCTGCTTATAGGATGTTATATTTCCGTATGTGATAGTTTTCTACGAATGAAATACAGTAGTTTTATCTACTAGCTCAGTATCCGCGCTCCCTTTCCCCCATCTGAAACCTGTGAAAAATGCAGTCTGTGGAAGACAGACTGGGAGCTCAAATATAACAAAAAAAATACTGCTCAGATCCAGCCTACTGTTTTTTTTTCAGGGAGATACTTTAAATACCATAACTGTAACTCAAATATGATGCATGCTGATTGTTCCTGAATTGCCCCAAAAACCTGACCTTCTTTAAAGACATCCAGGCTCCATTAAAGTTATGATTTTTCTCCTTCTGTACTTGCTACATGAGAGTGATAAGGCAGTAGAAATGCATATAAGAAATTATGTCCTTAGAAATTTAATTTAAGAACTTGCTTGATTTACTTAGAGGACTCACACAATCTCTGTCTTCCTGGTAATATCCAACTTTCTTGATTCAGACTGGAACAGACATCTTCTGAATAGATAATATGTTTCTTCTTTATTTCATGATAGATCTCTATGGTTTCATACTGATTGACTTTTATTGGTTTCAAAATTAATAGAAATAAGATATTACCAATGTCAGTTCCTTTTTGTACCTTCAGTATTGTACAAATACAGAAGATGCTTGTACTGGTAAAACTGCCATAAATTACCAGTGGGTGATTGCCAGCATTTACTGTGGCTGAATGACATGTTTACATCTCTAAAAGCTTTCTAAGTATATCCTAGGCAAGTGCTTGGACTTTCATAAGAGTTTTGTCCTTTTTTAGGTGGAATAATTTTTATATTTGAAGTATGGTTGAAAGTATCCTAGGTGTTTAGGAGTAAAATATTTATTGAACAGCAGCAACAGTTCAGGAGCACCACTGATAAGCAAGGAGAAATTGTAGGCTAAAATGTACTGAAACAACTACAAATTTCTATAATGGAATGGAATTATATACTGTGTTGAATTAACAGTGCAACTCAAAACTGTTGTTACAATTAAGCTTGCCTGCGGCCTAGATGTTCAGTCATCTAAGTGCTAATCCTGGAGTATGCTTCAGCAATGCTTTGTGTTCAGTGGGTGAAATTGTTTTGTTATATACATGAGGAAATAAAAGAAGTTTTGCCCTTTCTGGACGTTTTAATGTGTGTGCCATTTTGAGGGGTATAACTTCTGGGTGCTTGCTTCCCTGCTACAAGGCTACATCATGATACAGGGAAAATGTCCAGAGGGAGAGAGACCCTGCCACTTTATTTTCTAAAATTGTCATTTATCCTTACAAAGCAGTTTCTTGATGCAATAAATCTTTCTTCTAGCAAAACAGCTAATAGAGTTGGATTAAATTTTCATGTTGGAAGACCCTGTCAATCAAATAATTTTGTGTTTTAGAAAATATTAATATGCTAATATTAAATGCTGGAGGAATTAATATTTTCACAGCCACTCCTACATACAGTATTGTGTTTCTTTAAACTTTTTTCTTCTATTCTTTTACATACTTTTTTGGAAGTTTGCTGGGTGAATCTGTTGTAGGCTGGAACACTTGAATGTGTGGAAAATACTAAGATCGTATTTAACTTGGGGTTTTTTACCCCTGGACATTGTGCTTTATGAAATCGTAGAGACTAATTAGGTTCCTCTCTTCAAAAAACTTTAGAAAATCTATTTCTGTTTTGTAATTGACAATTCTGTAAAACAAACCAGTGAGATTCTAGGTAAGACATCTTGAGAAGTCAGTGATCATTTTTGTAACTCGCTGCATTGAAAATCGTGTATGGTTTCTGTTTTTGTGCTGATTGTCTTTCAGACTGTGGCAGTAGTCTGTACAGAGTTGGGGTTTCAGTGTCTGTCACCACTTGACTGTACAGGATAATCGCTACAGAAGGATATGTAAAATGGATTAGTATTACACAGTTTTGCTCCTTTTCTCAGTGATGGCTGAGAGTATAGTTTTACAAACTGTATAATTTTCAGCTGTTCTTGTAGCTTTCAGTGGGTGAACTGTTAGTGCTGTTGAAATGGATATGTGTTCTACATAAAACAGGAAAAAAAAGACTAAAAAAAGTAGAAAAAATAGGGTAATTTTGCTTTTTTTCTGAAATACACAGCTTTCACTTTCAGCTTGAAAACTACCCACAAATCAGATTGTGCTGAAGTGATTTGGACTTCTCTAGTTGAATGTGGGTAACGTGCTGATAAAAGCAGGTTCTACATCTTGGAAAGTGCACAATGCCTCAGCCTGTGCTTCGCAGTTGGCAGGAAGAATACTGGGTGGGGAAAAGCTGAGGAATCTAAATGGGACAGCTCTCTGCTTCAGGGCAGAACCAGCACTGTTCAACCTTTCCTTTCCCTTTTTAATTCCTTCTGTAGTTCTTAAAACTGTCTGTGATGGAGAATCCAAAAGGTCTTTTGGCAGTCTGCTCTCTTTAGAAAGAAGAGGTTTTTAATGTCTGACTTAGGCAGCCTTCGCTTCAGCGTCAGCCTATCATTGGTTTTTCTATCTCTATTGGACAAAGAAAAACATTTCTTTTCTTTTTAAAGCTGTCTTATGTACTTTGTAATACTAATACCTTTTAGGCAGCTCTAGACTAGATAATTTAATGTCTTTTGGTCTGTTTTAAAAGGTGTTTATCTAAAGCTTTGTTCATCCCTTGAATAATTGAAGGACTGCATCAGTTAATCACTATATTCAGCTGTGATGCCCCAGCTGGGTGCCGTACTTCATCTAAGGGCTTAGTGCAAATTAGGTGGCAAAAAATTTCTTCATAGGTGTCATGGATACAAATGTATCACAATATATTGTTTTCTTTTTCATGCCATTATAATGGCATTGACTTCTGTGAAGGTGCAGCTTATTATAACCCTAAGTTTCTTTTCTGCGTTCAGCTGTGTCTGGCTTGTATTTGTGCAGCTGTCTTAAAATGACATTTTGCATTTGCCATTCCTAAATTGCTTTCTTGATTTTTCAGGTCCTATTTCCAGTTTGTCAAGAACCAGGCGTCAAATGTGCCTGCAGCTCTGGCCAGCTTAGTGTTCTTTGCACATTTGATGAGCCCACTCTGTCATCTGAGTTTCTAGTGTAACTGTGTTCAGACAGGCCCCCTCAGAAGTTCACTCAATACATTTTTGTAGTTTGATGTCACAAGTGTCTCTGTATTTTTTCCAAACCCTTTTGCATCTGCCTTACGTGAGTGCTCTTTTGACACTGTTTTTCTAGCTTTCCTTCTAGGATTTTTTGTATTTTTTTGTCACAGTATCACTGATGTTAAGATATGACAGATGCTGCTTCATCTGGATTTACAAAATCTATTTCCCTGTCATAGGGATAATTTGGAGTGGGTTGATACAATTTGTTCTTGACAAATCCATGTTGACTGTTACTTACCCTTTCATTACTTTGTAGATGTTTGCAAATTGGATTTTTCTTTTAAATGTCTTTCTGCTAATGGAATTAAAGTTGACTGGGTTCTAATTCCCTGACGCCACCTCTTCCCTTTTGTAAAGATAGACAGAATTGACAGATGCCTCCAAGTTTATTCCCTTGCATTTTGATAAGTCAGAATGTTGCTAGTTAACCTGCTAGTGATAGTGTACTCGTTGATTGCTTGGGCTGCTGTCTGCAACTCCCTGAAAGGAGGTTGTAGCAAGGTGGGGTCGGTCTCTTTTCGCAGGTAACAAGCAGTAGGAACAGGAGGAAATGTCCTCAAGTTGCACTAGGGGAGGTTTAGATTGGATATTGGGAAATGTTTTTTTTTTCCCTGACAGGGTTTTCAAGCACTGGAACAGGCTGCCCAGGAAAGTGGTGCAGTCACCATCTCTGGAGGTATTTAAAAGATGCATAGATGTGGCACCTGGGGACATGGTCTAATGGTGGACTTGGCAGTGATGGGTTAAAGGGTTGGACTTGATGATCCTAAGGCTCTTCTCCAACCTAAATGATTCTGTGATTCAGTGAACTGGTGGCAGTCACTATTGACGTGTTAGATGTTTCCGTATTGCATAGCATGTTGTATCTCATGAAGTTGCACCTTTCCTGATGATCTAAATGAAGTTCCAGTGGAAAGGCTTTAAAAGGAAAGCTGTCCAATTTAACTTTTTCTCTGCAGTGAAATACTTAAGTGTTGTCAGATCTGGGTTCTTTCCTAATGCGATGTTTTCTGTTACTTCTTAAATGAAGCTTAGTATTCATTATGCTTTTTGGGGAATTCAGTATTGAAAGCTTTTTTTAATGTATTTTTTTTCCAGTTTGTCAAATTTGCCAACATTGAGGAAGACACACCTTCATACCACAGACGCTATGACTTCTTTGTGTCTCGATTCAGTGCCATGTGTCATTCATGTGACCATGATCCAGAAACACAAACCGAGTAAGTGCCATTCTGTATGTCTTAAAGAAAACTGTCTTAGCATGTTAATATAGTCTATAGTACAGCTTTCTTGTGATACTTAGTGGATTATTTCATTCCATAGGGAAGAAAATAAAAGCCTGACTTTTTAAATAGCAAATTTAAATATTGCAAATCTGAGGTGGCTAAACCTCCTGGAATATTTAAGTGGAATTTTGCCTGAATAATTGCTCTCCAGAAAAGCTCTACTTATTATTGTAAATGTGTGCAAGTTGCATAACTCCTTTGAGAAATTAATGGGGCTACTCATATGAATAGCAAAAGCATGTTTTGAGTCTGCTATTTGAGAATTACTCATTAAAATTGAATTCTCATAGATGTCTGCAGTATGAGACTGTCTGAAGCTGAAACGCCTTCATGCGTTAGTATTACAAATTTGGGCATTCTTATGTAAGCTCCACGATTAGTTTTACTTCAGCTCCCCCTAGCAGATGTGTTCTTATTGTTCAGCTGTATTTTGACTCCTGAGTATCTTAGAAAATTTAAGGTGTTTCAGATTATATTATTTGCATCTCCATTATACTCATCTTTTCTATTTCCATGTGCTAAATTATTTAGCCAACTGTGAAAAATCCATGTGCTTTACGTTTGTTTAACCCTTTGGGTGTGCTGTTTTCACGTTCACTGCGACACATAAGGATTTGTCCAAAAGTTTGCAGTTTCAAAAAGAATGACTAGTTTGTACATTGCTTAGGAGGGAAGAAAAAAACAAACCAACAAACACAAACCAAAAAATTAATTTCTCATTTGCTGTAATTTGCTGCCATCTTATTTGTTGCCCTGTTGTGGTGTGTAGGGTTCTGCTGTAAACTGTGTCTCTAAAATGGTTACGATTAAATCTGTCTGCTTTTCCTGTATTTTTACCCCTGCCCCCATCCCTTTGCCCTTTAGGAGGATTATTCCAGTGAATGGTTTTACAGGCTGACCATGTGAATTGTATGGGGAAGACCTGAATTGTATTGAGGGACAAAGGGAAAAGGGGATGGAAACTTCTTAAGCAGGTAGCACTAGCGACGTCAGTTTGTCTACTGTAGCTACCTCGTAACTTAGGCTTCTGCCAGGTACAGACTATTTACCTGAAGCTGAGGATTGCAAACAGTATTCATAAATGTTTTAATGAGCTTTAGGGGAAAGATTTTGCCTTTTTAGGCTTAGTGAAATTAAAACATAAATGTTAAACTGCTTACTTACCATGAAACATTTCATAGAGGATAGGATATAAAGCTCAGCTCAGGATTTTTAGTGGTACTTTCACCTTCATTGCCCCTGGCAAATGAGAGGTAATATAAGTAATGAGCTGTGACATGGAATGAATGAAGAGACTAATACATCCTGCATTGGTGTATCAGGTATGATTTTCTACTCATAAGGTTACCCCAAAATTAAAACACCTCAAAATTGTGATTGCTGTAGGAGTAAGAGAACTGTGCTAATCTTTTGCTCTTCAGAGTGTCAGCCTGCACCTTATCTGTGCTGCAGTTTGCAATGTTGTTGTACCCTTAGACAAGGAGGAATTTCATCCTAGTGACAGAAGACTGTACATGACCTTGATTTAAATGTAATCTCTGCTTTAATACCTATCTAAACGTTCTTTAGAGCAATGTGATGAAATTTGATGCTGCACCTTTCTCAGTAAGACAACCCTCATTTTTTAGCCTCCTGTACAATAGTAAGAACGTGAAATCACTTCTAATGGTACTCTAGTACACAAGTGTGGCCTTTTTTTCCCACTGTGAATCAATTTTTTACTCAGGTTAGCCAAATATACGGCAATATTACTTTTTACTACTTCATTCTAGACAGCTTAAATGTATCTCTTTCAAAAGAGATCTTTATGAACAGCAGTCATTGGAGTTGGTGCAGCAATTTGCTGGAGGTTCTGAGGTAATTCAACAAAAGAACTGAGCTGTGGCAGACTGTAGATATCACAAGTAGTTAATTCTCTTGATGAGGACTGGGGAGAAATTCAGGTGATCCTAAACCACACATAGAATCATAGAACGGTTTCGGTTGGAAAGGACCTCAAGATCACCTAGTTCCAACCTCCCTGCCATGGGCAGGGATGCCTCACACTAGACCATGTTGCCGAGGGCTTGACATTTGAAGTTGCTGTCCACCTGCATAGCCTGAGGTTCCACTGAACTTTCTGGCTTGGGTGGGAGCTTGAACATCATCTACACACATAATCAGGTAATGTAGGCTCTGAGACTGAAACTGACCCTGACCTGTAAAGTGAGATATCCCTTTCAGGAGCAGAGGTCAGTCCTAATATTTAATGAATCTAAACCTGCAGTGTCAGCAAAGCTTGATTAGCTTGAGAACTCATAATTAAAAGGCAAAAAAAAAACCACTGTCACTCTTAGATCCTCAGTATTGAAAACAATACTGGATACTGCGCTGTAGTTGCAGTGCAGCAGCAGCAAGAGCTTTTCTAACTGTGCATCCCTTTTCTTCCCTGTTGTGTGTGTAACCCTGGTAAAATTGTCTTGAAAGGTCTAGAATGGTATCAGATGCACACTGAATGTATGTGGTTTGCTTCAGAAAAAGCTGAAAAACAGGAAGATTGAAATCTAAAGAGAAATGTTACAGAGTTTAATGAGGTCTGTTCCTCTAGCAAATATCTTCATTCAGCAAATTTGAGCAAAGGCGAGTTACGTGTTGTCCGTTCTGAAATTAAGATCTAAAAAAGGAGGGATGGATTTTTAATAGAAATAACTTTAAATTTTAGCAAATCTTGTGCTTATTTCACTTGATGGCTGTACGACCCTTTCTTCTACTTGTTTTCAGTAAGTAAAATCCTATTCCTACCATTTATTATAATGGCTAGTTTGCTACTACCACTTCAACAAAATATTTTGCCATTCATTTAATTGCAGAGATTCTCCTGCAACCTATTTTTAACAAAGTAACAAAACTAGCTAACAGAAAGAAAAAGCCTTAGCCAGTCAGCCTAAAACTAATATTCTTTTTCTTTGTTTTATGGTTGTTGATCAGATCTCAGTTAATTCCGTTCAAATGGGTTTGGGATAAAAGTGGCAGTCCCTCTTGTGCATTGTGCATAATTTGATAGCATTATCCTTTGCTTTCCATCCTGTGAATCTTGCACAGATCTTTAAAACTTGGCTATAATTAATCCAAAGCCTTAATTACAACTTCTAAGGACATGATCATGACTAGATATTGGTTCAGCTGTGCTGTGGTAACTTCACACCAGTTTTCTTCAGCACTGGAATAGGTTGAGATTATGCACAGTTTCAACTGATGGGTGGTAAATTGTGTAGAGCTTGTGGATTTTTGCCTATTTGCCTTCTGTTGGAGGTGGTGAACACAGCCTGAGTATTCATTGGTCAGTGTCGGTATTATCCTTATCCTTTTGGATCATCTTCTGTTTGGTTGTTTGATCTTTGAAGGCGTTTAAAGGCAATATGGGCAACCTTAAGGAATTGGCCACATTTCCATATTACTGCTTGTGAGAACCCATTTGAATCCCACGCTATGTAGTTACTATTGCCAACTAGGGAAACAGCCATACTGGGAGGTGATGTGTTTCTTCTCCTTTTCACTCATTCCTTTTCTTCCTTCCTTAGGATTCGGATTGCTGGAATCAGGGGCATTCAGGGAGTGGTTCGAAAAACAGTTAACGATGAACTTCGAGCAACTATATGGGAACCTCAGCACATGGACAAGATCGTACCTTCGCTGCTGTTTAATATGCAGAAAATAGACGATATTGACAGGTATTTTTATTCCTGGTCACTCATGTGTTTTAAGCACTTCTATTGCTAGCACTGGGAAAATTCCCTAAAACCAATCTCAGCTATGCAAAGGAGCTTAAATGTTTGTTTTGTGTCCAACCATAGCTGCTTCAAAGCTTGCTTGGTAAGTAGGCTCAGCAGCCTTTTCATACCACCACGCTTTTCAGGCTTTCACATGACACTCAGCTTGCTAAATCTGTCACGTTTCTCACTTTTAGTTTGTTGGGTTTAGGTGGTGTCTTTCCCAATTCTTCAGCCTCATTCTTTTCTCATACTTCTAACTGTCAGCACCTGTCTTTTCTCTAAAGCAGGTTTTGAGACTACATAACTAAATCAATAGTTGTCTTTCTGTCCATGCTTTATTTATTTACTGCATAAAACTGAGGGCCCACACAGTATGTACAGAAATATCTGGATTTTACATCTGAAGAGTGTTCTGAATAAGAGACGAAGGTTTCTGGAAGTGCTGTTGGAATAAGGAGAGCCTTGTTAGGCTTTGCTTGTTCTTACAAGGATTCTACATGCAGGTTGGCCATTTAGCAAAAAATTAAACTAATTACTGATGGTAGAGCTGACTGAAATAGGATTTGGATCAACCTTGTAAGGCAGATCAATTTTTGTGTACTGCAGGACCACTTTCTGTCATTTGTTGAGCAATGCAGTAGTGGTGGTAGAAAACAAATCTGTCAAAAAGCAACTGTTAAATATTGCTTGAAACTTTCTCTATAATGCACGTTCAACAGAAAAAAAGACTAATGCTTTTCCAAGTGACAAGCAGAGGCCTTCATGATGTACATATGACAGAAGCTGAAAACAGTATTTATAAACTGTTGATCTCTAGGCCTTAAGTGATGTTACAGAGAATTTCTCATCTTGTGATATCATATGTGTGGAGCACAAACAGAGACATCTGGAGGAGTAGGAGTCAGAAGCACATTGTTTTGGCAGATGGAATCAAAGTATTATTTGAGAGAGAGCAGAAATTCCAGAAAATACCCCCATCTTAAGTCCATAGAAAATAACCGTTTTTGGTTAAAGCTGAGGTACATGTTGTTAAAGCTTAGCTTAAAGATCAGCATAATTTGTACTTGTGGAACCTTACTTAGTAGCTTAATCCTAGATTCTTCTGAGAACCTGTCAGATGAGACACTTTTGTAGTTTTTAATATTTAAACACTTTAGAAAAACAGTTGTATTTCTGGGTGTTATTTGTGTATCTGTATGCACATTCTAGTTACATGACTATCAGAAAAAATTGCAAGTGTAACTTGTTCTAAAAATCAGATTGGGTTTTTTCTTAGTTGTACTTCACCATGATTCTGTGTTACAAAATAATTGTCATGCATATATATGCAGTATATTGTATATGCTACTACCTTGAACTGGTAGAACCGTTCAAGGGAGTAGTTCCTGCCCATTTAATTGCAAAATGCACTTCATGTTTCGCTCCTCTGGACTTTCTGTAGTAAAGAAAGTCTGGATGCAGAGAAATAGTAGTAATTTACTTGTGTTGCAGTTGGATTTGTCAGATACTTGTTGAAAAAACACATCTTTGTTTTCTGATCTTTGTCTAAAAACCAAGTCAGTGAAACAAAATGTTGCTCATTTGAATTTAGAACCTTGAGAGGCTGTACAAAGCTTTCCCTTAAAGCTATAAAAGTTAAAAGCAGTTTTATATTCATTGTCTTTCATCTGATAATGCTAAAGGAACTCTGAGTGAGAAATACTTAGGGGTAGATGCTATAAAAGTTCAAAATAAGAAGGTGATTCCGACAGGCAAAGGAAAGACAATTTTGAACATTCTGATGCAGTCTGAAGACTCACGAAGACTGGATTGCAGTTTCTCCCTTTAACCTCTTCTAAAATAAGACTCCAAGCAATGCTGAGAGGCCACCTTCTGTGGGTTTTCATATAGAGACACTTAACATGTAACTTATTTTTACTGGTTTAACTATAATTCTTCCAGACAGAACTCACTGTATGTTCTGCACCCTGCTTTCTTTTTTCCCTCCACCCACCCACTTTGTACTGCTGCTGCATTCTTGGGAATCTGAGTCAAAACAGCAATGGGAATAAGAGTCCTGGGTGGTTGTTTGTACCTTCTCTGCACTGAGAAGGATGCCTGTCTGTCTGCATCAGTCTAGACAGTACAGGGAAGGAAAAACAGGCAGATTGAGAGGCAGTACAGGGAGGGAAAAACAGGCAGATTGAGAGGCACAGCAGTTGAATGAAGCTGTGGTTTAGTGGTGCTCATGTTGGGTTATGTACAAATTGTCATGCCTTTTAAAATTCTAATCACTTTATATTTGTAAAACTATTTCTCCTTACTTATCTAACAGGGTGCCTGGGGCTTTCCTATTATTAAAATGTGACAAGGCAGCAATGTTATGGTAATTTCTGAAACACTAATGTTACCAGAGGGAACTGGACTTGTCTATCGCAACTTTTAGACTGCAGTAGTCTTGAAGCACTAGAAGATCTGCTATCAGAAGATATTACAACTATGATGTTAACATGTTCATCTGACGAGTGGCATTTCAGTATTTCACTCGTTGACGTGCTCTAAAGCTATGTGTTTTAGATACTAAGGAGTGTACATTAACTAAAGCTGATGAACACTTCTAAATGTATTTAATGCATAAACTTGCACTGCAGAACTGAAAGTATGTTTAAGGTTTTAGTGTACTTATTTCTTCAGACTAAAATAAATCTCTAAACACATCTATACAGAATGTGTGTGAACCCTCACTTAAGTTTCTATAATGTGTTTTGTGCAAAAAAATACATGCCATCTGTAGCTACAGTTCTTCTTAGGGGAAACTTTCTTTCCTCTTCAGTCTTTCACCTCTCAACTGCTCAGTTTAAATGAAATATTAACAGTTTAATGGTATGGTGTGTGAAGTGCTTTAATTCAGAAATACTTTTCAAATGCCTTTAATTTGCTGTAGTAATTCAGGTCTCTGTGTACTAAAAAAGAAGTGAATTTGGGCAAGGAGAAAACAAAATGACAAAATAAAAACCCACAACACAGCGCCCCCTCCCCAAAAAAAAACACATTTCAGGGCCTGCATCAAAAATGAGAAGTGGGAAACTGGAAACTCTTCTGGAAGGGCTCTAGCTTTCACTGTTTACAGCATGGGTGATGATCTTTGCTATTCCAAGGTGAGACTTGCCTTCAAAACTCGATAGAATTTGGGCCTCAGTAGGTTTTAGTTTGTTCAAAATATTCTGGCATTCCTGTAGTTCTGCTTCTCTTGTCTGGATTCAGTCTTCAGTTTGATAGTTTTACTTTCTTTCTGTACCACATTGATTTTAAATAGTCAGCCTGATTCCCAGTCACAGAGAGAAAAGAAATAATGGGAAGTGGCAGTATTTGAACCTTACAAAAATTTGGTAGCTGCCATTTGATCATTAGTATAAAAAATTAAAGCCTTGCTTTGCGCAGCACGTTTTATTAAACTCCGAAGTTGAAATTTCCATATGAAATGAAGTTGATATTTAAATGCTAATTTTAATTCCTTCTAGCTTAAGAAAAAATATTTTACTTTAAGTCATTCATTGGGGTATTTTAGCACCTGAAGAAATAGTAGCTGTGTAATAAAATCCTCCCCCACCCATTGCTTTTTTCCTCTCCCTTCCATCATGTTATCTTTTTTTATTGTTTTTTTTTATCCATAGAATCATGGAATGATTTTAGTTGGAAGTCCATCTGCTTCCAACCCCCTGTCATGTGCAGGGACATCTTCCACTAGAGCAGGTTGCTCCAGGCCCTGTCTAACCTGACCTTGAACACTGCCAGTGATTGGGCAGCCACAGTTTCTCTGGGCAGCCTGTGCCAGTGCACAGACACCATGTACAATCCTCTCCATAGTGATGTTGGGCAAAGTTAGAAGGTGACTAACTTAACTTCTACAAATCTAGTTAGAGGTAACTGTGTGGGTGATAATGTTCTAATCAGTTCAATCAGACATTTTTCAACTTGTAAGCCATCTGTTCCTGCAGAAGTATTGGAGATTTATTTAACAGTCACCCACACAGTGTGGATTCAGTAGTGGGCAGGTGAAATAGATCATTAGTCTGAACAAAATGACTAAAGGTTCTGCCTAACTTTTTACATGGTTTCATAGCCTTCATTGTTAGCAATGGGTTATAGTTTTCAAAATACAGTGGGTAACAGGTTAAATCTATGTTAACAGCCATTGGTTTTGCCATATAAATATTTACCAATACAGAGATCACTACTGAGTGGACAGATGATGGTTTATAGTCCTGCTATAAGAGAATAAAATATGTTATTCCAAACTCTGGTTTGATGCATATTTGAGGTAACAGGGGCTTTGGGGTCAAAAGCATGACTTGTGAACATTGTAGAACCGAGGGTGGGTACAGTAAGAATGATGAACATTAAGCAGTAGTAAAATCAGTGTATTTTTGTCTTACTTCAGCAGAGTAGGCCCTCCATCCTCACCTACAGGAGGAGAGAAAGAGGAAAATCCTGCTCTGCTGGCTGAGAACTGCTTCAGGGAGCTACTAGGAAGAGCAACGTATGGAAATATGAATAATGCTGTCAGACCAGTTTTTGCGTAAGTTGAAAATTCATGGAAGGTCTTACCTTGAGACTTGCTTTTATTTCATCCTCTAATTATGTTGCATTAAATTCCTTCCTCCTTTTCAACCTAAGGGATTCCATTCATGTTTCTTCAAGAAATTGCCCTTCTCTTAATCTCAAGTCTTAGTTGCTTATCAACTTGAAGATAGTTATGAAGAAACATGGCTCCCATTTTACTGATTTTAGAAGTGCAATGTAATGATTTGGAGGGATTTGCCTCAGCTGGCCTTTCTTTTGAATGTGGAACTGTTTATTGTAGATATTGGCATCCCACAGATAACCGTTGCAGTCAGTGAAGAGACAAGCCACATAAAATTCAAGTAGCACAAGTGAACACTGTGCCTGGATGAATATATAAAGTTGAGATTTGTACTTTCTTGCAGTTTTCTTCGAAGACCTGTTTTGATATTTTGTGAGGAATATCTTTTAACAGCTCACTTAGTTGTGAATGGCAGATGTGCACACAGTAGGGACGTTATACACAAATGCATGCAGTACAAATGACAGCTGATGTATTAACTATCAAGTGCAGTGTTTTTCAGTTCTGTGCTACAGTTGCTTCTTAAAAAAAAGATGTGAAAAAAGCTACAAACACTGAGATAACTTAAATCTGCTTCTTTCACCTCTAGCATCTAAAAAGTAGGCATATTCTCAGGGGAGATCTTTACAGGAAGCTCTAAACTCAGTGATACAACTTTCAAACCCTGGTGAGGAGGAGAGCTGTGTGCTCCTTGTAGATTTTCAAGATACTCACCTGTTATGGGCACATCTTCTCTTAGATGACCTAGTTCTTCCCCCAAGACTTAAGGATTCCATTCCTGCACTGAAAGGCTTTCAAGCTTCCAAAAGCCCTTTATTTACTACTGTTAAGTAAGAACAGAAGTTCAAAAAGAAGATAGGATAGGTGTTGAGGACAGAAAACTTCTGTAGCCACTTGTTTTTCACCCAAAAGCATTAACTGCAAAGAGCTGTGCTATTATCTTTCCGTGTATACCTATTATACCAGTCTGATAGGAGTTTAACTGTTGTAGAATTGAGTGCTTTATTAATAAATCTTCAACCTTTCCTACGTGTAGAATTTGCATTCCTCCAAAATACCTGCCACTAGAGGGAACTGCATGCTTTATTTCTGAGCTGAAATCAGTAGATGATGACCACAGTTACTCAGAATAGAGTGTTTGTGGTCACCATTTTTGTGTTCCATTTAGAGGAAGAATTGCCAAATAAGTTCATCTTTTTGTAAGTAACTGCTGTAAAGGTTTAGTGGTTTTGAGAGTAAGAGTGCAGAAAATGCAGCTTCCAAGCTATTTTTCCTAAGCAAAAAAAATGTGCTATATAATCAGCTTCGCATTGTGAATGGGCAGAACTGGTAGAGTGGAAGTTTGAGATAGTGAGTCCGTTGTATCCAGTTGAAAAACCTGACTTAATTTGTGCACACTTGGTTAGAAAAAGTTTCTCCTAACAGTTTTCAACAATTTCACTGGTTTTAAGAAAGTTCTGAAAATAATGATAAGGTCACTTATTACAGTGCTAACACTGAAGATGCAGGTTCTGCTCCCCACTTGAAGGCTTCCTTTATCTTGCCTTGGAGTCCCTTCCAACCCAAACCATTCTATGACCAGTCCACGTGCCACCATCGCTTCCTTGCAAAACTGGGAGAACAGTACTGCTGCAACATGATTTGAGGGTAATGAAGACAGTTGAAATCTGGAGTCAGTCTCTTGGTATGGTTTTGGATTGACTTTAATTCTCCTTGTCTTTGGCAGAAATTCTCCATGGTTAGAAGTGTCTGCATCTGGAAAGTCACAAATTCCTATTTTTTAATGAAATCTGACAGATCAATCTGGCAAACTGCTTAATGAAAGTCAAAAATTTCATATTAATATGAGATGAAAAAAATTTGTATTTTGTGTCAGCAGTCACAGGCTATTTAGACTTACTTAGCATGAATTTGCAATGGTGAATAGATTAGACAGATCCAGGGGGATACAGTGAATATAAACAACTTCCCAAGTATAACAAGTTATACCCTATTCATCTCACTGTATTTCCATTCTTGTGAGTTATCAGATCATCAGTGCAAGGGTTTTGAATATCAGAAGACTGGTGTTTAATATTCTTCCGGCAAACATAGTGCATGAGAAGATTATTTCATACATTTCCATACATGCCTCAGTTCTACTTTGTAATCACCAGCATCAGTTTATCATTTTGTACTGTGAGTTGAATTTTGACTGATTGTGGCTCTCACTTGATAAAGTAGTTATTTGCACCATTGTTTCTGCTGTTCCTTTTAATTTCAGAAACACAATTGTGCACATTTGCTACATATGTGCAACATTTTAGTAGAAGGCAGAGTTCAGCATTTGTTAATCCAGCAATAAAATGTTTTGCAATCTCACATAGATACTTTTTGTTAAAGGAAATCTAATTGGAAAAAAAAAAAAAAAACAAAACAAGCAAGATGTGACTTGATTTTTAACTAAACTAAATGCAGCATGTTCAAGATAGCATTAACTCTCTTTTACACAAGCAAAACTATGTTGCATACACTGCCTGCATTCTGATGAGTAAAATATATCACCTACAATAATCTAATACTCCTTTTCTTATGAGTAAAATTCCTGTACACAAAGTATGCTGCCAGTTGAGCTACTACTCAAAATGTTAACTTGGGCTGTCGTCTTTCCCCTTCCATCGCCCCATCAGTTTATGTACCTGATGCAGCTAATTCTTTGCCTATCTGGAAAAGGAAAACTGTGTGTCTTGTTTTGAGAAATAAAAAACAAACTTGACGTAAGAAATATAATTTGACCAATAATCTTGACCATAACCTGCCTGAATGAATCTTTGGGGCACATAAAGAGGTAACGGAGAAAGCATGCTACCCTGAAAGATGAAAGGTTTAGCTGCAATCAGGAGAAGCCAGTGGAGAGCATGATTTTGTGTTTGGTAAGACAAAAATAAAATAGGCTAGCTAAAATAAGCTGTCATCCACAAGTGATGGGCTGTGCTGGAATGATATTAGGGAGAAAGAAGATATGAATAAATATATGATGAAACACTAAGCCTTGAAGGATTTAAAGAGGTAATTTTTTTGTCTTTCTATCCAAGGCAGGATTAAATGTACCTGTGTGTTTGGCATGTGCACAAGAAAGGCAGCTATCTCCACCAGGTAGTCCAGTTTAATGTTTAGTAATGCAAATATGCTGTTACCTTGGCAGACAGACAGCTTTAATATTCCTGAAAATATTTCCTGTAGGGATTTCTATTTAAAGCTGTGTAATGTGTCAAAATGGCTGTATTTCTTTTAAGCTGTGCGATGGACTGCAGCATAATTTAGGGCACAGTGGAGGATGGCTTTATGCCAGCTAGTTTAATCAACCTTGAAGGAGACCTGTGTGCTCAACTAGGTCACTAGGCTGGTAGCAGCTGGCCAGCGAGGTAATTGAGACCTTCAGACTCTAAACAAAGTCAGTTAAAGCATCCAGCCAGTCCTCCAGCATTCAGGGTAGTGGCTGCTTTCACCTGTATGCTCTCAAATTTGTTATTTGGAGCATCTTTATATGTTTGCTCTGCTCTCTGAGGAATGGCAGACCAGTAGTGATTCTGTAACTGAGATTCCTATTTAGAAAGACAAATTCAGTTGCTGCAAGGAAGTTTTTGATTGCTTTTCTTTTGATTGTTGTTTTTTGTTTGTTGGTGTGTTTGGTTTTTGTTTGCTTGGGGGGGGTTTAACCTAAATCATACCAGTTAAAAGGCATCCAAAATTACTTTTTTCAGACTCCACGATTTAAATATGCCTTGATTTTTGTCATGCTTTTCTAGTTACTCAGTTCTTTTTGGAAGGTTTTATGTCTGCCCTATTCATAGCTTTCAGCATAGTGTTTAAGCAGAATTTCTCTCTGCTTGAAACTGACAGTGTTTCATTGGTGGCTCCTATCCCATTTAAAGAGAAACTGAAGCATTTATCGTTCTGATTCTGTTTGGATAATTCTTGCAGAAAGTGTTGAAATACTTCAGAGTGATAAAGGAGTATATATACAAAGAGTAGCTCTTTTTTTTGGTTTCCATATATTATTCATGAAACCACTGTGAAAATGAAAGTAATTCTTAGAGTCTCTCTTCTGGATTTAACTTTCAGTGATAATTATTTTGTAGCTCCTGATTCAAAACAAATTATCTTATTTAGAGTTTGTCAAGGTATAATAATCATCTTCTTCAGTGTTTCTCTTCCTTATAAATAATGTCACAGCTATTTTTATGTGTACACTTTGTATGGAAACAGTATATTCTTAACTGTGTATCTTTGGTATGACTGGTTCCTTAAATTCCCAAAACTGGAAGATCAGGAATTTCTGTTACAGCAGAATGTTTTGTGACCACATCCTAAACCTTGAAACAAAGCTTTTCTGAGGTTATAGTTTTCTTACCTAGTTACTCTTTAGAAGCTTTATGTTAAGGAAATAATCAATTTGAGGTGAACTTTGGGAAAACTGTAAGTTGACATTTATTATATCTGTGGAATGTCATTATTCCAGGTCCCTTAATTTTTGGTTACAGGCATTTAGACCATCACAGACTATGGGATCCCAACGAATTTGCTGTTTCCTGCTTCAAAATCATCATGTATTCTATACAGGTAGGACTTTCTCCAGGGATTTTTTCTTATCTCATTTACATGGTTTGAGCAGATGAGAGAGGTTTAAATGCTCACCTCACCACAGTAGTGATAGACAACAGATGAAGTAAAGATGCCTTTCCATAACTTCTTAGCCTTATTCTTTATTAAAACTGTTAAAATAATAACCTGATAGTGGTTTGTGATGAGAAGTTACCTGATTTACTTTCAGTTACTGTACACTTGTAGAACTAAAAAAGATATTAAGGAATTCTCAGTGAAAGGTAGTGTGGAGGTCCTTCAGCCAGCTCAGAACAAGGAGATGGATAGTCATACTGACCTGACATGTGCTTGATAAGTAAATCTCTCTTAAGGTGGTCATTTCTCATGCCAATACAGCTGTACTGCTGTTGCAATCCAAGAATCCATCTTCACATGGAACTGTGCTGTGCTAATTGATTTTTACTAGTGAGCAACCTCTATTGTCTATTGTAAACATGATCAAAGTCTGCTGCTTGGCTTGGATCAAGCACAGACACCCGAAAGATAAAGTTATGGAATTGCAGGTTTGTGGAAGACGTCTGAGTTTTCTCAGTGTTTATATCAATGGCACTTTGTCATAATAGCAGCTGAAGGCCCTGGACTGCAGTTGGCTGAATGAAGTACTGCTTCAGGCCTCCTCTGTTCTTGTTAGATGTTCCTGAGTATTTTAATGCTATAAGCTTTTGTACACTATGCTGGATGGCTTCATCAGTCATGGTAGGTTTTAAAATCCATATTTAATCATGAATTGATTGAAATCTGGATACATTTCTGAGTAAGAATATTATGGAATAGGAATATGGTTGTGACTGTAGCTGAATGGTGTACGAGTTTATTCTTATTAAAGTCACAGATTAAGCCTTTCTTTCTGTTTGTCTGTGTTTTAATAGGCACAATATTCCCATCATGTAATACAAGAAATTCTGGGACACCTTGATGTTCGTAAAAGAGACTCGCCACGAGTTCGTGCTGGCATTATTCAGGTTCTTTTGGAAGCAGTTGCAATAGCAGCCAAAGGATCAATAGGTAAGTTGTCTTCGATTAAAGGCATCAGGTCAAAGGATAAATTTGAAGGTTGGTTCTTATTTTTGCTTTGTTTTCAGACTGAATGAAAGCATGTATTTTGAGAAGGTCTTTTACTTGGTTTACAGTTACTCAAATGTATTTAATTGGTTGTTTCACTGCTTTATAATCCTTTGCATTGAAAAATGAGTAGATGAATGTTTACAGCCTTGTGAAAGGCAGAAGCTCCTGTTTGGTAAGAATTCACAAAGAGATCTGTGTGTGACTCTACGAAATGTCAGTAGCACTGTCACTTTGTGATATAGCTGCTGTGAGATGAGTGGTAAGAAGGGAGTCAAGTAGAACGATCTTTGTGCATTTTTACTTTTGTAATTTTGAAGCAGCTGATAAGGTGAATTGTGTCATTTAAGGCAGCATAATTCTTTGAAATAAAAGTAGTTACGAAGTTGGGTACACATGTGCTCTGCTGTTGTATTTCCTTGGTCTGCTACTGAAACATTATTCCTTTGCTTCATTAATCTGAGCCTGTTCTTTCAGTAAAAGATCCACTTGCGTGCACAGACCTGTCAGAGTTGTGATCAGAGGGCTGGAGCAGCTCTTCTGTGAACACAGGCAGACAGAGCTGTGCTGTTCAGCCTGGAGAAGAGAAGGCTCTGGGGAGACTTAGAGCAGCTTCCAGTGCCTAAAGGGGTCTACAGGAAAGCTGGAGAGGGGCTTTTTATGAGGGCATGTACTGATAGGATAAGGGGAAATGGCTTTAAACTGCAAAGGGTAGATTTAGATTAGACATTAGGAATAAATTCATTACTGTGAGTGTGGTGAGGTGCTGTCACAGGTTGCCCTGAGAAGTTGTGGCTGCCCCATCCCTGGCAGTGTTCAAGGCCAGGTTGGATGGGTCTTGGAGCAAGCTAGTCTAGTGGAAGGTATCCCTGCCGATGGTAGGGGGGTGGAACTGGATGACTTTTAAGGTCCCTTCCAACCCAAACCATTCCATGATAATGACTTGTGAATTCTTTTACTATATTAATAAAAGAGCTCAGTATTTGATCCAATACATAGAACTGGGTTTCAGTAGCAGGTTTTGAAATAACTGAAAATTGGGTGCAAGTATCAGCAGTTTAACATAGTATTGATGCTTAATTTCAGCAACCACTCGCATTTTCTGTGTAAAACTTGCCATGGTGGGTTGTCTCCAGCCTACAGCCATTTGCTCCTCTTTCCCACAGGACAGGGAGAAGGTAGAGAGAAGGTCAGAAGTCTCATGGATCAAGAGAAAGACAGTTCAATGGGTGAAACAAAAGCTGCATCCACAAAGAAAGCAAAGGGATTTATTCAGTACTTCCCACTGACAGATATTTAGCTGCTTCCCAGAAAGCAGAGCCTCAGCTTGCAGAACAGTTACTTTGGAAGACAAATGTCCCCCAATTCCTCCTCCTTTCTTTGAGCTCTTACCGCTGAGCGTGATGTTGCATGGTATGGAATAGCCCCTTGGTCAGTTTGAGTGAGCTGGCCCATCTGTGTCTCCTCCCAGTTTCTTGCACACCTCAGCCTACTCTTTAGACAGAATAGGAAAAGTAAAAAGCCTTGATACTTGCTAGCACTGTTCAGCAACAGCCAAAACATTGGTGTGTTGTCAGCAATATTTTAGTCACGAACCCAAAGCACAGCACCACTCAGGCTGTGAGGGAGAAAGTTATCTCCATCCTAGCCAGACTCACTACAAATTGATAGTAATGGATTATGCATACACACTGGATTGCATTTACTGATTCCAAATGAATTTCTCAAATATCAAGGTGTAGGCACACTTCAAAAGCTTATCCCGAGGCCATATCCCTCAGACAGTGAATTTCATTTGTTCTTTTCAGCTTAACCTGATTTCTCCTGGGAAGGGATTGAAAAGATTGATTTTAATATACTTAAGGCATCTTTCTCTTGGCAGCTGCAATCATTGTTGTGTGTTTTTTTTCCAGGCCCAACAGTTCTGGAAGTTTTTAACACCTTGTTGAAGCACTTACGCATCAGCGTTGACTTTGAGCTGGGTGATAGGCGCAGTTCAGCAGGGAGTGCCACTTTCAGCACAAGCTCCAAGGAGAGTGATGAGAGGATTGTCCAAAATGCTATTATCCAAACAATTGGTGAGTGATGACAGTAACGTGGGTTCACTTAAAATTACTTCCCTTCTGCATCATCCTCAATGAAATGGTATTAAACCATCTTGAATCAAAGAGGAATACTGGTGAGTATGGTGTCTCTGGTTATATTTGCCTCTAAATCTCAGGCTTACTTCATGTATTTGACTTCTGAAAGACTGTTTTTTTAATTGTTATCTGAGCAGATAGCCAAGAAGCTCAATGAAAATTAAAAATGCTTGTGGACTTACAATACATTTGTTGATTATATTATTATATAGCACTTGAAATATAGACATCATTTGGTCTCAGAGGTGCAAAACTAATATTCTTTTATGAAAATCATATTGCAAGCAGTCACACAGTAATATATTTGAGTAGTTGCTACTTGAAAAAACAGTGTTAAACATAGTGGCAACAATGACACCTAATGGCTGGTTCTGCTGCCACAACTTCACTGAAGTATTTCTTAACACAATACTGAAAATAAGAGCAACAGTTTCTGTAAATGATTTCATTAAAATTGCCTCTCCCCTTTTTTCAGATTTTTCTCTTGATGGTACTGATAATTATATATTGCAGGGCATTTGCAGTGTGTATTCCTTTACTTAAAGAACAAGGGGGAATGTAACTTCCATGTTGTTCACTAATCTGTACCTTTGCTTATGCCATGAAGCTTTCTACAGCCAGCAGCAAGTATATAGTAGATTATTTCTCACCATTCTTAAGTTAAAATGTTAGCATCCCACCTCCCAAAAAAATCCCCCAAAACCCACAACCCAACCTTTTAAAGTAAAGCTTCTTTCTGTCAAAGTGACATTTATTACTGCACAATGGTAGAATAAAATAGGTTACTTCAAGTTGGAAGGGACCCATCAGGATCATCAAGTCCAGCTCCCTGATTCTCTCAGGACTACCGGAAACTAAACCATATGACTGAAAGCATTGTCCAGACACTCTAAACTCTGACAGGCTTGGTGCTGTGACCATGTCCCTGGGCAGCCTGTTCCAGTGACTGACCACCCTCTCTCGGTGAAGAACCTTTTCTTAATGTCCCATCTGAATTTCCCCTGATGCAGCTTTCCCAATATCTTGTTTCCTGTCTCTGGTCACCAGAGAAAGGAGATCAGCCCCTCCTTTCCACAGCCCCATGAGGAAGGGGTAGGCTGCGATGAGGGCAGCCACCGGCCTTCTCTTCTCCAAGCTGAACAAGTGACCTCAGCTGTTCCTCCTAAGTCTTGCCCTCGGGCCTTTCACCATCTTGGTGTGTCCTCTGGACACACTCTACTAGTTTGATGTCCTTATTTAGAGGTGCCCAAAACTGCACGCAGTACTTGAGGTGAGGCCACACCAGCACAGCATAGAGTGGGACAGTCACCTCCCGCAGCTGGCTAGCGATGCTGTGCTTGATGCACCCCAGGACACAGTTGGTCCTTTTGGCTGCTAGCGCACCCTCTTGATTTATACTTAACTTGACATCAACCCAAACCCCCTAAACCAAAGCATAGTTTCATTCTGCATCTGTTTTGATCTTGTTAATGTATTCTTCATATTTGTAAGGCTTTTCTTTTTAAGAGAAGACACTATATCTCTTTTATGTGTGCTTATATTGCGTTTTTATTTAGGATTTTTTGGAAGCAATCTCCCGGATTACCAGAGATCAGAGATTATGATGTTCATTATGGGAAAAGTACCTGTTTTCGGGGCAACATCACAATCACTGGATACCAGTCACCTAGGGTTTGTATATCCTTCATTTTTTAATTTCTAATTAAAAATTTAATTTTTTAGAATCCCGATAAATTAAAAAGTGAAAACATTAAGAAAAGTGAAATGCACATTCTCCCTCATTCAGGGCTATATTAAATACTGTGCAGAATCAAGACAAGCACAGTGTCAGAAGTATGAAATTAATACCCAGATGTGTTAACTGATAGAAAATACCTGATTGGAATGGAACTTATCTTACATTAAAACATTTCTTCTCTCTAAATCTGTACAAATGTTTCTGAAATTGCTTACTTAATGGTGGTTAACTCATAACTTTACATGTGTGTTTTATGAATGAAGGAAGTTGAGCTATGACTAATTTTTTTTCAAATAGCTGTAGGAGTTACAACTACTTTTGTGGGGGGGGAAGTTCTTCATTCTGTACAAGCTGACTTCAGATTAAGAAATAAACTGCAGAAATTCCAATGAATTTGGTTTGGTTTAGATTTTCCAAATTTATTTGAAAATAAAGCCACAGGTGAGCAGACTTCTGTTGTAAACCCATAACTAAAAAGCTGTCATGTGCTGAAGTAGTATTTTTCCCTGTATCATTATGTTTAAAAGATTGCTTTTTCCCAGTATGGGGAAAGTCACTGAAAAGGTTGTAGCTGTTCTTTCCAGGCATGCCTGGACACTTTGTACCACATATGTCTGATCCCCTGGGATCATAAGTACGAAGTCAGCATCATTTTCCTGGTTTCTTGGTGGCTTTTGATACAGTATTGTGTCCCTGCAGTATGGGACGGTATTCCAAGATAGAGATTTGTCTGTGCCAGGCAGTTACCACTCATTGAGAAGGTATCTGGAATATGAATCTATTTACAGTTCTGCACTTGGGTTACCAGTTGGGGTGAGGGGTTTGGGGTTGTTTGTAACTGTACAGTTTTCAGTCATAGGATTCTGTGTAAATATGACTGTTGTGCAATGCACGTTGTCACTGTGAACAGAGGAGGCTTTCTGACTGCTGATAAAATCTTGCATTACTTACCTGAAAATTTGGTCTCTGCTACACAAGATGTGAATGATGCTGCCAGTGGGATATAGCCAGGATTAGAGCCCATGAAGGTGGAAGTTTCCACTGTTATGTAAGGCCAACTTTTGTGAAGAGGCTTGCTCTTTTCTTATGCTATTTAGAGGGCAAAAGTGTTTGTACCTTGTCTGCTTTCTTGGCAGAGTCTCTTTAAATGTCTCTTTACAAGAGAAAGTGTAGGGTACTGCACCTGGGGAGGACTAACCCCAAGTACTGGTACTTGAGTCTCCAGGGGGCTAACCTCTACTGGAGAGCAGTTCAGCTGAGAAGGACCTGGGAGTGCTGGTAGATGGATGGTAAATTGACCATGAGCCAGCAGTGTGCCTTTGTGGCCAGGAGGGACAGTAGTATCCTGGGGTGCATTAGGGGGAGTGTGGCCAGCAGCTCGAGGCAGGTGATCTTTTCCCTTTACTTGGCCCTAGTGAGGCCACGTCTGGAGCACTGTGTCCAGTTCTGGGCACTTCAGTACAAGACAGACAAGGAGCTACTGGAGAGGGTCTAGTGGAGGCCTGGAACATCTCTCTGATGAGGAGAGATTGCACGAGCTGTGCCTGTTTACTCTAGAGAAGAGCAGACTGAGAGGGGATCTCATTAATGCATATGAATACCTCAAAAGCAGCTTCTAGGGTGATGGTGCCAGACTCTTTACGATGGTGCCCAACAACAGAACAAAAAGCAGTGGCAGTAAACTAAAGCAGTTTCACCTCAGCATGAGGAAGAACTTTTTTGTTGAGGGTGGCAGAGCACTGGAACAGGCACTGGAACAGGAACTGCCCAGGGAGGTTGTGGAGTCTCCCTCTGTGGAGACATTCAAAACCCACCTGGACATGTTCCTATGTAACTGCTCTAGGTCTCTTCCAACCCTAATAATTCCATGATTCTGTAAGCAGAGCAATTTATTCCAGGTGCTCTTCTATTGTAAGATCTTGCATGAACAGTGCATATTTGACTATATACCAGTAGGTGTTTAACTTCAAGCACCAGCAGGTGGAAGATGAGAACAAATGAAGAACAGGTTAAGTGGTATTCCATGTACTTTCCTATGATCTGAAAACTGAGGGTTCTTTCAGTTTTTCTGTCTTGATTTTTGCTGATAGCTTTTTCTCAGTCTCAGAGTTTAGGGATCTGGTTTAAAGAAGTGTACCGGTGTCTTAAAAGACTCCATTATGTTTTAATTCAGAAGAAATTCTGAGTGCTGATGCTTATGAATATCAAGTCAAGCATGTAGTGGTTAAACATTTCAGATGCAAAGAGATTTCTGAATGAAGTTGTGAATGCTCCATCCCTGGACAGAGCCTTGGCTGAGATGGTTTAGTGTGAGGTGTCCCTGCCTATGGCAGGGGGGTTGGAACTAGATGATCTTAAGGTCCTTTCCAGCCCAAACCATTCTATGATTCTATAAAACATGAAGATATAGATCTGTTTCCCATATATAATTTAGTCTTTTCAGTTGTATGTGCTTCTTTTTTAGGCCTTCTATAAATGTCCCTTTGAAAAACATTTAGTTATTACACCTCCTTTGGAGATACTTATTTGTGGTTGACCAGCATCCCTTCCAAGACTGTTGTATTCACTTGTGAAAACTGTAGTTGTTAGAATGATGTCTGGAGTGCAATAATATTTTGAAGATACATAAAGAAGCTAATTTTCATCTTTTTTTTCCAATTGTAGAGATTTGGGAACCAGGCGGATTCAAATTATGCTGTTGAGATCTTTACTTATGGTAAGCCTTCTGTGTTCAGGTCTATTATAAGTACATAGTGTTTCACTTTATATGTTTATACATGTAAGTACAACATTGCAACTCTGTATTATGAAATAAAACATACCTTCACATTACATAGATCTGTAGTTCTACTGGGTAAAATTGGGACAGCGTTTTTGCAACTTACATTACAAGCAGCTCAAGAAATATTTCTCCATCTCTTAGTGGATTAGTGAATATCAGTTATAATTGGATCTGCAGATCCAAAAGAACATCATAGAGTAGGTTGAGTTGGCTAGTTCTGACAGCAGTGCTGGCAACATCAAAGTGAAATCACTCTTGTCTGACACCAGAAAAGCTGTAATTAGCAGAATGACTAATATTTTTAAAACCAGAGGGATGGATGCCTATCTCCAAGCCTTAGAGCCCCAGGCACCATTGTTCTTTCCTTCCTAGTATTTCCCAAGTTTCTTTTAAGCTCTTATTAAATGTTTTATCACAAATATGTTTTTCAGCTGTAAAACTTCAAAGAGTATTTTTTGAAATACATCCTGATTGCAGGAATCAGAAGTGGGTAGTAAAGGAGGCTCTTGCCTGTAGAATCCTGACCTATTTCATTGCAGAAACTGAAAACTCTTTTGTGACTGAATTAGAGAAAGTAATGTAAAGAATGATTTCATGACTAAAGCAAAAGAATGCATTCCTGGAGAATGAGTTTGTACCCCTGCTTTGATATTAAACTTGTGTGTGGTGTTAGGCAAATCAGTTAAACTCTTCTTGCTTGTCAAAATATGAAATGCTAGATTCTGGTGGGCAGAAGAGCTAAGCATTCACAGTTGCAATTCAAGGGTAGAAAGCATGTTAAAAAGGACCTCAGGGGGCCATTTTTCACATTGTCTTCATTAAAGATCGACTCAGCTATGCCTAAACTGTTTCTGACAATACTAGTCTCACCAATCCTAAAAATTTCAGTTGAAGTCAGTTCTAATTATTTGGGGCGCCGCACAGCCTGTAAGTGTGCTTTAAGGGATTCAAGTTGTGCATGTGGAAAGAATTTAACATTTTTAACACTGAATTTTCACTTGGAGCCTCTTTTAGAATATGAAAGTAAATCCCATCATGGCCCAGAGATGTGAAAATGAATGTTTTGGTCCTTAATAAATTACTCAACATTGACAAATACTGGGGAAAAAATGTGGGAGGGAATCTGTGTTCAGAGCAAAGCTTTCATTGTGGTGTATGAGGTTTAGTGTGCACATAGGAAAGAATTAGAAACTACTGGACCTTATCTCTTCTGTGTACTGAACTGGGCATTGTACATCATGTATTCCTCACAAAAGAGTCAGACTTCATAACGTAATTAGTCTGTTGTCATGCATACACATGGACAGACTTTGTGGTGTCTAGGCAATTAAAGTCTGGCACTTCATTAAAAGTATTCACTTTTATTTGTGGCCTTACTGCATGTAATATTAGTAATTTTCCATTTTCAAAGTGATTTATTAGATACCTTCATGTACTCTCATGTTCCTCTGCCAACCAGTTTCCTTTCAACAGTTCAGTTATGCTGTGGGAATAGTTCTTGCTCACGTGTTGTGGTTTAACCTCAGCAGGCAGCAAAGTACCCCCCAGTCACTTGCCCACTCTTCCCCAGTGTGATGAGGTAGAGAATCAGAAGGGTAAAAGTGAGAAAAGTAGGTTGAGATTGAGATAGTTTAGTGAGTAAAAAAAGAAAACAAAAGAAAAGCCAAGAAAAAGTGATAAAAAATAAACCAAAACCAGACAAAAAAAATACTTAAACCCCAATTGCTCACTGCCAGCCAGCTGATACACAGCCAGTCCCTGAGCAGTGGCAGCCCTTGCAAACTCCCCTGTTTTTATGCAGTGGTCTTGGAATATCACTTGGGTCATTTAGGATCAGCTGTCCTGGCTTTGTCCCCTCCCAACTTCTTGTGCACCTCCAGCCTACTCACTGGTACGATGGGACAAGGAGCAGAAAAGGCCTTGGCTCTGTGTAACTGCTTCTCAGCAGTAACTATAACAACCCTGTGTTTGAGTGATCCCTGTCCCTGTAAAACAGCCACTAAAACAACACTGGTTTGGCCACAAACCGGGAGCACAGCATCATATGAGCTCTTACGAACAAAATTAGCTATTCCGTCCAAAACCAGGACGACACAGTTCACATGTAAAAGCTGTAATGGTAAGCAATATGCATAATGAAGATAAATATTGTATAGTCTTAGGAAAAAAATATGCTTGCTTTTATTATAATTCTGAATAATTTTGCTCCCCTCATCCTCAATAGTTGATGCTTGTCCATTTCTGAATACTGTTTTTTCTGAGATTATAACGTTCTTGTAGCCTCCATTTTAAGAGAAGGTAAATTTTGAACATTCCTGACTGCTGTAAATGTTCAGCTGGTTAATATTTCAATTCTCACATAGAAGTTAATTTTTCCTTATGTACCTACAGAGCTTGATTTAAATGAAAGTAATCAAATGAGGTGAGTTGGGAGTAGTATCAGTGTAAAAAAAAAAAAAAAAAAAGGAGGAAAAAAGCAATGGCACCAGATTTCTAAGAAAGTGACATTTGCTGCTTGCTCTCTTTTTTGCAGTAAAGTAATATCCATAATGTTTAAGATGTACATCTAGGCACCAGTTTTCTTTGCATCAGCATACTCAGTACCATAAATGATCAGCTTAGTGCCTGAAATGGAAGAGTCCTCATTTCATGCCCTGCAGCTTTTCTAAAGGATTTTGTGATACCTTTCTTTTTTCTTTTTGGTGTTTTGGTAGAGGAAGAATCCTGAGAAATAAACTTCAAAACAGATGAGGGAGTTCATTTGAACATGGGCTCTTCCAAATTTCATGGTGAGGTTAGGAATTTTCAAAACTAATACAGTACTTCAGTTTGAATCCACCTGTCCGATGCCAAAGCGAGCCCACTAAAAAGTGATAGCTGCAAGAAATTCTTACCCACAGTAACTTTACTTCCACCATTGAACAGGTGACTTCAGGATACAAAGCAACAACAATAACTAATGCACTTCCTCCCCCATTCCTGGACCCATTATTGTCTCCTTCACTCATGGAAGACTCTGAACTAAGGCAGCTGGTTTTGGAAATACTGCATAACCTCATTGATCGGCATGACAACAGAGCAAAGCTCAGAGGGATAAGGTAGTTCTTTTTGTTTGCTTTGGCCTGCTTGAAGTTTTAGTTTAATATCTGAATGATAAATGGCTTTTACAATGTTTTTCCTTATATGAAATGTTAATGTACTTTTTTGATAAGTGCATATTGCTTAGTGTCATTTATTGATGACAGGAGTTTTACAGGTAAACCTCAGTGCATGATACCTTTAAAACTATTCCAAGTATCTGCTGGTTTAACTATGGAAGACAGTACGTGGTATTTTGTATACATGAACAAATATGTGGTTGTCATAATTCCGTTTATGGTTCTTCCTCTTCAACTGAAATTTGAATGTCATTGTTAAACATGGATATAATTAAAATGGAAATTGCTTCAGGATTTGTTTGAATAGTTCATGTATTTCACATCCTCTTCCCTTTCAGCTTCTTTATGCTAAACTGACATTTTTGTTTCCTTTGCAGAATAATACCAGATGTTTCTGATCTAAAGATAAAACGAGACAAAATCTCAAGGCAAGACGTGAGCTTCATGAAAAAGGTAATAGAATGAAAAAGTTAACTTTTCTATCTGGAAAGAAGATAAAAGTAACTGAGGCAATTGCTTTGCTTTTCTTCTACAACTGTCCTTTTGCAACAAGTTGCAAAGATCAGTATCAACTGATTTTAATTCTAATTACAGTGATTTTAATCTTGAGGTGCTCTAGAGACTTGAGATGTTATTCCGTGGAATAAATTTGTCTTCAGCGAAAACCATTGCATGCATGAAATTAGAACAGTGTGTATCTAGGCCTTAATTCTGAAAAGACCATCCCCGTGCAGCATTTCATTTGTGCTCAGTGGTAGTTTTTCATTTGTATGGCTTTTATTTTGCTGAATTTTCAGGGTTTGTTTTTTTTTTATTTGAAATTCTCTGTTAAAAGCCTTAGTAGAGGGACTTAGGTCTTACGTATTAGGTAAAGATGTCAGAGAAAGTTAACTTTGAAGAAAAAAAGCACCTCCTCATAAGATTTGTTTTTACCAGGGTATTGTGCCAGTTGACTTCTGAGAATGTTTTGTTCTAAAAAAAAAAAAGATATATGTTTTTTTAGATGATGCTTATGCGGAGTGAAGTTACTTCTTTACAATATGCACCCTATTCTCAGTGTGTGGATAAGCACATGTAATTAATGTGCTCTTTCATTCCTGTCTGTGGTTTATCTGCATAGGTATGTTTGTAAACAAAAAAGATGCAAAGTACTGCAGTCATCTCAGCCAGGCTTTACAGTGTTTATCACTGTTATCTGCCTGAGAAAATGCATTCATTTCTTATAGCTATCCCATGCTGCTTTGGTTTTGTTTGCTATTAGCTGTGAAATAAAAATGTGTGTCTTCTGGGTGCTGACTTACTACTCTAATTATAAATATCAAAAGAATTGTAGTTTAACTTGTCCAGAGGCAAAAATACTGCATATATTGTAATATGCTAACTAGAGACGCTCAGCTTTCAAGTAGTATTGCAAGATAAATGTTCTTGCTAGGTCAGCACAGTTGGTATTCCTTGCAGTGTATTTACACCTGGTTTGATTAATACTGGAATAATACATAAGGAATACTCCAACACTGACAGTTGTTATTAATGTATCTTTGTAAAAAGTGAATTAAATGTTAATTCATCAATTTAATATCTAGGATTTAAAGGAGTTTGGCTAAGTTGTGTTTGCTGATTTTTGCTAGATGAAAATTTAATCATCAAACTAAATATTTGAATTGTTAACACTCATCAGAAAAGAGGGCAGGAGAGGAAAAGAGACTCTTAGCAGGTCACGAAAAGATTAATCTTCTAAGAAATGTATTAACCCTGGGGAATGCAGTCATTCATTCTAATTATCTATGTGATACTGTTTCAAGTGTGTATCATAAAGCTAATGTTACTCTGCCTAGTGTAGATGTGTATGTTAGCAGCCTACTCATCCTAGATTCCCTGCGTAATCAAAGGGGAGGGGTGAAGCATCTCCAGACATCCATTAAGATCTGAATGACCATCTAGTCCTCTTTGATGTTAGATGGGGATTTTAAGGCAACTGTGTATCATACTTAAGTACTTCAGTACCTAAAGTTAGGTGAAATTAAACCAGACATATGCACAAAACTCTTCCATCTCAGTCCACTTTCTTAAAGCCAGGAGGTTTACTTCTATATTTTCTTTCAAGGGAAATACTGAACTTCTTGCATTTTGCAGGTTTCTAGAAAGATCCTGTGTGTCAAGAAATACTACATAATAATTTATTTTCATATCTAACTGCAATTCTTCATCAGTGGGATAAATCATTTCATTACTTTTATATTCTAAATATGCTGTGTCTTTAAACAGTTAACATTGTCTGTGCTTATTTCGTAGTAGCTTCTGTGCTTTGCTAATAACTGTTTCCCTCTTTTCTAAATAAAACATATATTGAACAGCTATATATTTGATTTTATTTGTAATAAAAAGGCCAACATCATCTTTATTATGCCTTAAGTGAATATGTCCTGCTTGAAAAACAGATGTTAAAAATGAGTTTTCTTTCTCCTTCTAATGCTGAGCTAGTACTTTCGGAGATAAAGTCCTTAGATCTTGAAAATTAACTGTATCAAGTGGTAGAGACTTGTATCCTCTAGAGATTAAGAATGCTGGAGTGGTAGAGTTGGCTTATCCTGCCTTTCTGTGTTTTAAGTTTTCTTGTGTGTTGAGATAATAGTTTCTTTACAAGATCTGGTTACACAGAGTGTTATGAGGAAAGGAAAGTCACTGTTGAAGTTGAGGGGTTTTCATTAGATAACTCCTGTTCTCCACTAGCTGGAGCCTCCCTGTGCCCATTGGTAGATGTGCTCTAGTCACCCTCTGAAACACCTTCAAGATTATTTTCTGCATTTGTTCGTCAAGGAGACTTGGTTAACGAACAAATTTGATACCATTACGCGGATAATCCTGGAAGCTCCTCAGTTACTTGAACATTCTTGAGAATTTTCAAGATCTAGTCTTTGTTTTCTTCTTTTCATAACCAGGAAATTTTATTTTCCTCAATATTTCAGTAGGAAGTGAATGCCAGTGTCTGACACGCAGTGCAGTATTCATGAGCAATTCTCTGTATCATCTTCTCTGTCTGTACACTCTCACATAAAATAAGACAGTACTGTATTGATAAAGAAGCTGTTGCTATAAGCTAGTAGTCATCTTGATTAATCATACATGTGTGTATACAAACGTGTATGAATGTATTTGATCATTTTTTATTTCTTTAATTCTTTATCTAAAATGATCTGATATCAAAGTTGGCTCTGCTTGGAGTAGGGAGTTGGACTAGAGGACTTTTGAATATCTTTTCTAACCTAAAACATTCTGTGATTTTAATATTCATTTTCCCTTCTTTTGTCTTTTATAGCATGGTCAGCAGTTGTACAGACACATCTACTTAGGCTGTAAAGAAGAAGACAATGTCCAAAAAAACTTTGAACTTCTGTTTACATCTCTAGCTCTTACCACAATTGAACTAGCCAATGAAGAAGTAGTTATCGACCTCATTCGATTAGCTATTGCTTTGCAGGTATGATTCTCAATCAGGGTTGGGTTCATTGGCTGACAGTTTATATCTGTAATTGGAGATGTGGATAACTTTTTTGTTTGTATATTGACCTTCATCATTCAGTCTGAACTTGATCGATCCATGAAGGCAGTGCACTTTGTGCATACCACTTACTAATAGGGAAGCGTAAACTAATCAGATTTGTTAAAACTTCTGCAGCATGTTCTCTACAGGAAATACAGCAGATATGGAAATGTGTTCAGAAATTCCCCAGAATCACTGATATATTCATTATCATACTCAGAAGATACTCTTACAATCTGTGATCTTGTGTCAGTGTTCCGCATAAAATATATGGACTATGCTCACCTTGGAAGAAAGCTTTTGGTTAATTGATTTGTTGGAAATACTTCTCAACAAGACTTTTTAATCTTATGTTGGAGTAAAATTCTATCAGTGTGTTGTCAGGCTTTATTCCTTAACATCTCCTTTACAGGATCAAACATTATTTCATACTTACATAGAGTCCTTAGAGAAGCTGTGTAACTTAGTAGATCTATCTGTGTTGAAATTAAAGCATTCACAAAAGTAGTGCTAGCATGTGCTGTAGAAATTTGGTGAGATTGTGTCCTGTATTACTAGTTCACTCTCTGTCATTAGCCTCATTTCCTGATGTGCACCTGCATTATGAAACCTCTGATATGTAGAGTGCATCCTTAATTTTAAAATATGTCTCTGGAATAAATCCTTGATGAAAATTACATTAGGAGTTTTACTAGAGCTAAAATAATACAATCTGGATAAACATAGACATGCTAATAGAAATTAAGTAATTCCCTTTATGGTACCGTGTCTGTGACTCACAAGAGTGATTTTTATTATTAAGCTACTGTTTATAATATTCCTGAAAGAAATGGTGATCAGCAGGTGGTAAAGAGAAGAGACTGCCAGTCATCAACCTATGGTAGTTGATTTGATTTATTTCTCTTCGTAGGGGTTGAACCCTTTAAGCACTCTGAGTTCAGATCAAATGTAACTATTCAGGAGTGAGCTGAAAGACTAGGATTTTAAGATGGGAGGTATTAAATGATAAATAATACCAGATAATCATCACATGTCAGCTAGTGTTCCTGATAATCATTTTGACTTCCATATATTCAGGACAGATTGTTATCTTTGGAAAGTATAATGCTATCCTTTGTATTTCAGGACATTGCCATCATCAATGAGGATAATCTGCCAATGTTTAATCGTTGTGGTGTCATGGCATTGGTTGCAGCATATCTAAACTTTCTGAGTCAGATGATTGCAGTTCCTGCCTTTTGTCAGCATGTCAGCAAGGTAACACATAATTAAGTAGTTTCAAGTCATTTAGAAGAGCACACATTCTACTGTAAAATGGGTAAATAACCCATTGTAAGTGTGGTGTCCATCTCCTGTGTTTGTGTCCACTGACATCATTCTCTTTGGTCTCTGATGGCATTACTTTCTGACTCTTAAAATTATGCACAGAATAGTTTTCTCTCAAGGTATATATAAACATTTTTATTTTGTTTATGGAACCACATATAATGGGCTAAGTCCCCATCTGGTATTAAGACTTTGCAGCCTCTCTGGCTTTGGTAAAACAGTAGTGGCATGCAGGAGACCATGAGAACCTGATTTTTAGTCTAAAGGGTGAGTGCAACAATCTCCTGTGGTTAAAAGAAACTATAAAGGCCTACTATGTGCTGAGATGGATGTTAGTGAAGGATTGGTAATCTGCTGTATTAGAACCTCTTCAAGCAACTTTGTCATTGGAGAAAATAGCTGTGGTACTCCATTTGTTCTATTTGTCTTGGGTTTCTTCAGGTCATTGAGACTAGAAGTCTGGAAGCATCTTATTTTCTGCCAGAAACAATTTTCAAAGACAAATGCAAGTAAGTACATAAAGAATGGGAGCTAATGAACAGTGAAGTACCTATTTTTCTATTAAAAAATAGCATATCATTGAAATGTGTTCCATACATGAAAAATAATTTAGAGGTTTAATAGTATACAGGATGGGCAGAAGAAAACCAAGGATTAAAAGCATATATGAAAAAAAATGTGGGGTTTGGGTGGTTTTAATTGTAGCTGGAGGGACTTTTATCTGCACAGTGATGCTTGGTGTAAGCACTAGCATAGCAAAATGCATTTTCACTGAATCACAGAATGGGTGAGGTTGGAAGGGTCATATAGGGTAAGCAGTCCATGACCACATCCAGGTGGCTTTGGAATATCTCCAAGGTTGGGGACTCTACAACCTCTCTGGGGTCAACCTGTGCCAGTGCTTGGTTACTCTCACAATAAAGAATGTGTCTTGATGTTCAATCTATGTTCCCTCTGCCACTGGGTACCACTGAAAGGAGCCTGACTGTCTTTCCATGCTCCTGCACTTAAGGTAGTTAGTTGTAGATACTGATAAGATCCGTCTTCTTTTCTCCAGGCTTAACTGTCCCAGCTTTGTTAGTCTTTCTTCACTGAAGAGATGATCCAGTCCCTTAATCCACCTTAGTGGCCCTTTGTTGGACTCTCTAAAGTAAGTCCACATCTCTCCTGTCCTGGGGAGTCCAGCACTTGACACAATACTCCAGGTGTGGCCTTAACCACTGCTGAGTAGAGGGGAAGGATCTCCTCCCTCGATCTGCTGGCAGCACTCCTGTTAATGTAGCCTAGATACCCTTAGCCTTTTTTGCTGCACTCTTCTGGCAAATGGAAAATACTACTGCTCTGCAGTTTCTGTTATTCAACAGAGACAGTGTTCTTTCAAGACGTAGCAGGATAAGTGAGGAACATATTTCAGATAACCAGGAAGCGTTAAGGTAATTGAAGATATTGCAAAGGTATTCATTTTGGGGTGTATTCATTCTTAGAAAGATGAGCAAGTTTTTACTTCCATCTAATCATTACCATTGACCCTTTTCAGTTGCTTGCAGACAACTGGAAAAATGCTTTATTTAATGAACAAAATCTCTACTGGTAAATAATTAACTTCAAATACATATTTTGACAGTCTTCCAAAATCCTTAGAGAAGCATGAAAAAGATCTATTTTTCCTCACGAACAAGATTGCAGAATCATTAGGAGGCAGTGGATACAGTGTGGAAAGACTGTCAGTCCCATATGTACCTCAGGTGACAGGTAAGTAGTAATTAGTGGCAAAACTACTGAGTACCTGTAATTAAGAATGCTTTTTTAATGTGTTGTGTGAACATGAAGTGTAATGTGACTGCTTGGCAACAAAACTTAATCGTAGCGTAATTCCGTTTCCTCAAGATGTTCTTTTTTCTCTTTAGTTGCTCGGTTATTGCTGAGAAGTTTCATCTTTCTGACCTTTTAAGATTTATTCCTTTTTCCTTAAATTCAGGAGGTGGGCTAGGAAGTTCTTGAATCCACTTTGACTCTTTTCTGTAAAGTCTTTTCTGTCAAAAGAATACCTAAGAAGCAGGTAGTGATTGTTACTGGTTTTCTGTATTAACTTGAGTTAGCAGGTGAGGAAGGTTTGTACAACTCAGTGTTCTTTATCCTTTTTATGTCAGCACTGGATGGAACATAGTAGATCTTTATGCTATGTGGCCTTATGCTGGCTTATTTGCCTTAGTCAAATTCTCAATGAGCACATGTTGATTTAATTAAGAATCTTGTGTTTTCCTCCATTAGGTACCTATGCTAAATTAGGTATCTCATGAAAATAGAAATGTGCCTGGGGAAGGTTTGCGAGAGTTCTTGCTACCCAGGACAGGGCTTTGAGCAACCTGGTCTTGGTTGAAGGTGTCCCTGCCTAAAGCAGGGGGTTGGAACTGGGTGATCGTAAAGTCCTTTCCAACCTAAACCGTTCTGTGACAGTGTGTGAATGACTGGCTGTGTGTTACATTGTGTGGTTGGGCTTTTAACGGATTTCCAGCAGCCAATTGAACAATTCACTGAAAGAGAAACTTCACATTGCTTGAAGAATTTTTTATTAACCATGAGTAGTTTGTGCTTGCACGTAACTGGTTGCTCTTTTAATACGCTCTAAGACATCCCAGTGTGAAGTACTGTACCATGTTCTCTTCCTTATTTGAGGGTGGGGGAAGCTGATAATTTAAATGTACATTTAACAATTTTTTGTCTATACATATATATATATATATATATATTAAATTTAGCTCTATTTCCATCAGGCAGAAAGCTTCATAAACACAGATACAAGTCAAAAGGTAAAAATAAGTTGTAGGCCAGCCTGCTGTCCTGCTAGTAGCAGTGTGTCTGTATAGGATGTGCGCAGTCAAAACCAATATGCTTTTAGAAGGCCTTAAGACCTTTAGCCCAGAAATTGTGTTGTACTTGGTATACTTAGCATTTCCTTCTGCTTTTTTTTTTAATCTCGATATATGTGAAGCAATGTGAGCTGCTGCAAGTTTTGCCTTTCTGTTTACTGTGTTTGGAACTCTGCAATATGCTAGCTTCCGATTTTCTTTTCCTGAGAAGGTATTAGGGCTATAGGTATCATTTTTATGATAGTACTGATTACCTCTTTGATTGACAAGAACTTGGTAGAAAGTTGGAAGAAGCTCTCAGCTGTTCATAGAACGGTGATTTATCCTACTCACTGTTCAGGATAAAGGCTCAGGGTATGGCCAGATACGTGTACTGTTTTGTAAGAAGTTTGCTTGGGACTGATGCCTTTACCCCCTTATCCATTTTTCTTTCTTGTTCCTCCTCAAATCATCTCAATCCTCCTTTTCCCGACCCTTGCTTCCTCCCCTGAGCATCCCATACTAAGCTTTGTGCAATCCCAAGGTGCTGTTCCCTGCATCCCACACTGTGTCCATATCCGTGACTGCTCAGTCAGTAAAGTAACCCAGATTGCTGCTCCCATTGCCCCATGGAGTGGGTGCCACCTTAGACCACGGGACCACAGATGCTGGCATAGACCTTGCAGGGGCTGGGACAGCATGTATCAGTGCTCCGCCATCACCCCCCTCATGACCCAAGGCTCCTTCATGCGTGTGGAGATGATCTTCATATCATTTAACAGAAGAAAATGCCATTTTCACAATTTTCACACACTTTATTTCTTAAAATTAGACAAATTGGCATTTTAATTAGGCAAGTATAGTGAGGCATCCAGAGAAGTCGCAGATGTGTATCTTCCAGTGCTCAAATGTCAATTACAGAGAAAGCAGCAAGATGGCAGCAAAGATGTAGTTTTGTCTTGTGTTTACTGCTGAGGGCTAAGGGGCTTTCCTCAGACTCTACATGTATTTGTTCGTGTCCCAGTGAGCCATCAGGCATTAAATATTAAGCAAATCCTTCCAAATGCCACTTCAAATGCTCAGGGTCTCCGAGAAACTGGCCAAGGTAACTACAATTCAGGTGGTTTTCACTGATCCTGTTCTTTACTGGTTCTTGATCTTAAAATAGCTTTCATTTATATGGCTTCTGAAAGATATATCTTGATTTTTAAATGCTGAGTATGTTCAGTTCTGCTGGAATGAATTCTTGTTCGTGCTCAATACTTGCACTGCAAAAGCACTTACTAAAAGTGGTTTAAGCAAAGGTTGCAGAAGAACCAGCATAAATTGCCTTGTGGTGCAGGAGTTTTACAGTCATTCTCTTTGTCTTAGTATCAAGTGCCTGCAGGTCCTTCTAACTATGTGCGTGCAGTGGAGCAAATAATAATGGCCAGGCACAAATGGCTTGGTCTTGGTTAAAATGTAAAACGTGACATTGCAATTCAAGGTTTTGTAAATGCTATACGTGAAAGTCATTCGAGTCTCCATTTGTCAGAGGATCCTCATGACACAACTGTAAACTTACTTTTACTGGTTTTACTTACTTTACTTTTACTTAGGTTTTTTAAAATATTTTAAATATGATGGTAATTTTAAATATGATAATATATTAAATGTCAAACATGAGAAAATATTATTGTTGTATTGTCTCAGGAATGCAGTCACAAAAGGAAAATCCGTCAACTGATGGATCCTTTGATCATAATCTGCTTATGCAGTAATGAAATTACTATGCTGCTTTTATTATCAGCACAGTTGGTCACATTCTGACAACTTTTTAGGCCAGCTGGACTTGCTAAAATGTTTGTAGGAAGTTAGAAATAGAATTTTTTTCACCAAGTAGATTTTTTTTTTTTTAGACTTGCTGAATATGGTGCTTGTAGCAACAAGAATAAGGAAGGGTTGTTGTTCCTTTCCATTCAGAAGTCTTTATTTCTTCTGTCATTGAGTCATCTTCCAAAAAGCCCTTTTCTGCTTTAGAGTACCTGCAGATTAAGACCTTAATATTTCAATTTCACAAAAAAATAAGTTCAGGCTTTTGTAAATGACTCTGCAGAAACATGTTATCATGTGCTATGTTATTTATTATGTATTGGAATAAAATCTTATGTTTAAAAAATTCTGAGCTTTCAAGGGAAAGTTGACAAAATCTGTGATGAAAGGGGGAAGAAGCAATAAAACAGATATTTTCCTTCATATTTAATAATTTAGAGCAGTAACAGCTTGCTTTTCACAGCAGTCCAAATGGTAAAATAGATGATCTTTGATTAAATAGGCATATAGAAACAAATCTGCATCTGATGTGTAGAAGTTTGATCATGTTTCAAGTTCTATACTTGAAGTGAGGTAAATTGTTTTTCTTCTAGATGAGGACAGACTCTCCAGGAGGAAGAGCATTGTGGACACAGTGTCTATTCAAGTGGATATTCTGCCTGGCAACAACACAGAGGATAAGGTGTGAAAATCGTAGGATGTTTTAAAGCAGCATCTTTATAGGGAATGCAAATGAAGTTTCCCCAGAAAGTCTAATATTTCATTGTTTTAGCAGTGTTAAATGCTTTGGGGTTTTGATGTTTTTAACTCCTTTGTGTGTAGAAATGTGTTGTCAAAGACTGCTGCTGATCTTGCTGTATAACAATGCAATATATTTTGTCACCGTAGTTCTTACAGATAGTACTGCAGAATACAGGGTAGCAATCCCTCCACAGTCTCCACAGGCTGAACAACTCATATTTTATAAGTAAATATTCTAAAACATTTTCTTTGCATTTTGAGGGATCAGATAAATTCCTGGATCTGTATCCCTGTGTCATTTGAAGTCTCTGAGGGGCATGTTCATCAACATGGGGCTGACAGATACATGACTAGTGGGAGACCTGCTGTCTTTGGGAGTGGCAGGTAAAGACTAGGCAGATTGCATGTTACGGTATTGCCTTTTCCCTTCCAGAAGAGTTTAGCACACAGAGCTTTAAAAGTCATGGGAAGGATAAGGCAGCAACAAAAAGTCTGTATGTAAGGTACAGGAGCTGATGCTAATTATCCCTTAGGAAGACTGCATTATAATTAAAATTATTCTCCATCTTTTGACACTTCATTTGAAGTATTTCTTAAAATACATTTCTATTTCTGTTTCTGTTTCTACTGGATCTTTTTCAAGGTCCTGCTGAGTTCTATTAACCAGATTTCTGCTGACTGTGGTGGAGATTAGCTGTTGAAATTGAGGGGTTTGTACCTGCAAATGAATCCTGCTGTTAGCATCTTCAAGCACAAACTAGCTAGGGACATGAAACAGAGTGTGTGGTCGGTGTCAAGCTGAACATTAGTTAAAAATGAGATATAGTTATTGCAAAATGAAGCAAAAAGCAATAACTGTTTTCCCCTCTACCCTCCACTACTATCTGTTATTTTAGGATCACACTGCTGGTAACAACTAGTCTCAGGAAGCAGTTGCTGTTATTTGCAACAGCTGTCTGAGAACCAGTACTGAGGCTTAACAATATGGAAACGCCACAGCATATTCCTGCCAAAATTCAGGTCTTTTTCCAAAGTATTGTTGCCGTACAGCATCTTGCCTAGAACTTGGAAAATTTTCCTTGATCTCATTTGATAAAAATTTCCTCGCTAGTTGTAGTGGCTGAAGAATTTGCAGTAGTGATCTCTCACAGAAACTCCAAGTAAAGCTATTAGAAACTTCTGTATTTATCAAATTCCTTACTTTTTATTATCTTATATATATGAGTTTTAAAGGCTTTTCTTTCTTTTTGTTTAGAATGATAATACTGAAGAAATCACCTTTGAAGCTTTGAAGAAAGCAATTGGTAAGATTTAATACAATTGTATTTATCCAGCATAGTTCTAGATTACTGTGGATTTGCTAGAGAAAATGGTGTGGCCAGAATAACATAATTAAAACATTACATTTGTTTTTCATCAGCTGGTAAATGTATTTAAAACTTCAGTTATTTATTTCTAAGTTTCTGAAATGACATCTTGATATTTTTAGTGAATTCAGTTTCTGAAGCTAAGTTGACTGAATGAAAAGCATCTGGAAATGCCTGTCATCCGTTAAATTTGCCCTTGGAGATCAAGCTATAAATAACATAAGATTTTCAAGTTCCATTCAGTGATTATTTATAAGCAACTTAAATATCTTTTGCATATTATTATTCAATGTGTGCAGATAATAAATTGCAAGGTACACACTGCGGCCTTCAAAAACACTGTTTTCTTAAAAGAGTAGTTTTCTGACAAATGACCCAGGTACCAGAACTTAGAATTATCCAGTTTCCTTGTTTAATATTGCTATAAGTAATTATGGATTAATACTGTCCAGTCCATCAAGATACGGATTAGGCATTGATATTTTAAGCAATAGACACAGACACTGAAACAAGAATTCAGTCTGTTTCCCCATCACTGAGGTACTTAAATTCATTACATGCTGGAAGGTTCCAGCTGCCTGTAGGTTTACTCAGCCTATGGAGGTTGAACTTGCTTGTCCCAAATTCTGGTAGAAAAATTCTGCCCACCATTCTGCATGGTACTGGGAGGGAGGATGCTCTTGTCTTTTCTCCTGAGGCTGAACTTGCGTGCATTGAGTGACAAGCGCAGTCTTGAGTCCAAATAATAAAGCAAAAGGAAGGCTGGATGTACCAGTAATTAAAGCACAGAGTAAGAAAGAGGCAGACAGGGGTCCTCAAACCAGCACTCTGAAGCTGTAGCTGCATTTTTGCTTTAGAAGCAACGGCAGATGACAGCTTGCTTGAGTATGGCTGCGTCACTTCAAATGCAGTGCTTGTTTGCTTCTGCATTGCGCATTTGAAGGCCTATATCACGTATACTTGATAAGCAAAGATTACTTATGTCTTTATTTTTTATTTCATTATTTTAAGATAACAATGGGCTTGAAGAACAGGAAAAAGAAAAAAGGCGCCTTGTGATTGAAAAGTTCCAGAAAGCACCATTTGAAGAAATTGCAGCACAATGTGAAACCAAAGTGAGTTTCTGACAAATGTACATCATTGAAGATACCAGTGTAAGCATTAATGGGGATGGGTTGGCAAAAGGTGATTTATGTTGCCATGTCACTGCTGCAGTTACTCCTAAAGTTCAGTCTTTGTCTTTAGTTATAGTCTCCACTGTTACCAATGTTGGGAGATTCCAGTTATTTAAAGCGTGCTTTTGAGTGTTCCTAGAACTTTTGGAAAGGAAAACTCATACCCTCTTCATCTTAATGTTTTCCTTGCCATCTTTGAAATCTAGATTCCCCGTTTGTTTGTATTTCATCCTGGGACAACTGGAGCACTTTTTATCCCAGTATACATTTTGAATAATTAGTGTTTCAGGTTTGTTAAACTGCTAGTTGTAATAGCAAAATTTGCTATGTAATTCCTTGCACTTCAAGACAGGCTCACTAAGCCTCTTCAGGGCTTAGAAGCCTTGCAGCAGTGAGAAAAGAAACTCAGACAAGAAATGCTGCCTTAGATTTGCCATGTGGTGAAGATTTGCCATATGGTGATGTGGCACACACTGACTGAGTATGACCTGGCACATTCATTTTAACTCAGTTCCACGTATAGTAGTTAACAATTCAATTTTAATGCTTTTCCTAGGCAAACTTGCTTCATGATAGACTTGCACAGATACTGGAACTCACCATTCGGTAAGACTTTACGCATGAAGAGTGTGATGGATGATAAATGACTTATAAAGCAGTTGTGACTACTTTCAGGTGGTCATATCACAGTGTTCTTAAACATATGCAATAGTTAAGGCAAGTATTATCTGCCTGAATGTTGTGGTTTAACCCTTATAGGCATTTCTGCTCCACACAGCCACTGGCTTACTCCCTCTCAGTGGGATGTGGAAGCGATAAAAGTGAGAGAGCCCATTAGTTCAGATAAGAACAGTTTAATAGGTAAAGCGAAAGCCCCACGCACCAGCAAAGCAAAATAAAAAATTCAGTCGCAGCTTGGCCATCAGCAGGCAGGTGTTTAGCCACCTCCAGGAAAGCAGGGCTTCATCACGCATGATGGTGACTTGGGAAGACAAATGCCATAACTCCAAGCGTCCCCCCCTTCCTACTTCTTCCTTGTTGCTGAGCAGGACACCATATGGTGTGGAATATCCCTTGAGTTAGTTGGTGTCAGCTGTCCCAGCTGTGTCTTCTCCCAGCAACTTGTGCACCTACAGCCTACTCGCTGGTGGGATGGTGTGAGGAGCAGAAAAAGCCTTGGCTCTGTGTAAGCCCTGCTAAGCAGTAACTAAAACACCCCTATGATATCAACACTGTTTCCAGCACAAATCCAAAACAGAGCCCCAGTCTGTGGAGAAAGTAAACCCCATCCCAGCCAGAACCAGTACACTGAAAGAGGAGACTTCATCTAAAACAGTCACTTTGATTTTTCTTATTATTTTCCATCTTTTATATAGTGGACAATATCCAGAAACCATGTCACAGTATACTTATATTTCTATGTATATCTGTAGTATTGAAGAATGATGTCGTTTTCCCATAGCGGTATGCTTGAGAAAGTAGTCAGATATTGAACACCCAAAATAGTACATGACAGTATTATAGTGTTTTGCACATCGATTATGCAGGATAAACAGGATGCGTTTAGTAATCAAATGCATTTCTATAGTTCTGTAACATCACTGAAGTTGATTATCTAGACCAGAATACCAAAAAAAAAAACCCCAAAAAACAAGGCATAATAATTTCCTTAGAATTTCAGGAATAGGAGAAAACACTGATGGTTGGGGAGTAGAGAGGGGATGGTGCGATTTACTTTTTGTTTCTCAGCTTTTGGTTTATAAACTTAAAGAAAACAACTACTACAATTATAAATTATTGATTGTGCTTCTCACACAGCCCTCCACCCAGCCCCTCAGGAACGATGACCATTACTGCTGGACATGCTCATTACCAGTCTGTTCCAGTCTACGAGATGAAGTTTCCAGACCTTTGTGTGTATTAAGTGTCTTCTGAAGTCTGCTGGACATTATTTAGAGTAGAATACAATAGAAAGAACAAGATGAGTTTTCAAACTTTTATTGTTTATTTCCTCTAATGATGGACATGAGCCATATAAGGGTTACTCTAGCCAAACTTATGAGACTGTCTCGTTTTGTTTTCCTTTGTAATATATTTGAAGTTAGGTTTTTCATATATCATGTTCCTTCATTGTCATGTTTGAGTACATGTAAAAGCCAGGTTTAAAACTTGTCTTGCTATACAGGTGAATATTTCAGTTACTCTAGGAATTTGTATTTCTGTAAATTCCTTTAATTTCAGGCACTGTAACTGAAAAACCTGTTAAAGCCTTTTGCTTTTTTGTTGTTGGTGGTTGGTTGTTGTTTTTTAATCCTCTTCACCTCAATTATATATCTTAACAGGAATGCTTTTGGCTTGCTTCATCTTATTAAATGTAACCAGTGGAGCACAACCTTAGCTCCCTTTGTTCATGCTGTCATAGGTAGCCAACTTCTTTGTTTTGGAATATATGGAAAAAAAACAATACCTTACACGTGTTCAAGTACAGTAAATGAATTAATGGACACTTATTAAGTAATTTTTTTTTGATGCATCACATAATAATACATTTTAGATATGTATGCCCAGTGTGTGTCCTGCATTTCTTGTTAAACTTTAACTGCTTTGCATAAGAGATGAGAAGTCTCCTCTTGAAGCACTGAACTGTGCAATACTTTTAATGTCTTAAGGTGTATCGTTTACAGACTGTACTTTTGAAAATGCAGTAGTATTTTACTGTCTGCTTTGGTATAAATACAGGAGAGATATATTTAGTATAGCAAAAAATAAACTGAGGGCATTTTAAATCATAAATACAGAAATTGCAAATATATTCTACGAGGTATTCTATTCTCTGTAGTTTATTACAGCTTTGTAATGATATTTTAGAAATTGAAAGAAAACCGGATGAAACAGTTTAAAGATGAGGAATTTATTGCATATTTTCAAGCAAAAGCATTTTTAGAGATGCATTTCTGTGTTCGTTTTTGTTCCATTTCTCAAACGTTTCTAGAAATAAAGAAAATATGGTAACTTTCATAGGTTTATGTATCTGAGTATACTATTCAAATGTAAAGAAAGGAATATATATAGTAAATATATATTAGAATATAGGAGATCACTGAATTTTGGATAATTTTCAAGGCTGTCCTTATGCCTCTCCAAATTCTGTAGGCAAAAAGAAAAAACAATGTTCATTGATGACATGAATAGTAAATTTGAAGTCCCTTAATCTGTCTGAATCTGACTGAAGCAGCACAAACATCAGTGAAAGTTCTCAAATATCTATAATCAATGTAAGGCACTTAGTTAGCAGGTTAGATAAACAGCGATCAGGGCACAAACAAAGTCAACTAACTTCAGTTCATCCTGCTTTGAGCAGGAGCTTGGTTTAGTTGACCTTCACAAGTCCCACCCTAAATTAATCCATGATTCTGAATGGTTCTCTGTCAGCTGTTGTGCTGGCTGAGCATTTGCAAACCCACTGTAAAAAGGATTTTAAGGTTTTTATAACTGTAGTACAGTATTCCACTGGGCTGCTTTCAAAAGCCTGAAGTGACATAATATCAGAGAAATATCAGCTACTTAAACCTATGAGATAACATGCTGAGACTTTCAGAAAGCATTCACAAAACTCAAAAGGTAATTGAGACCTTCTTTTCAGTTTAACAGTGCAATCACAGCTGTTAGTGGATGACGAAACAGCCCCTTATCTACAGCATTCCGTTGTGATTTTTACTGCTGCAGCGTTTCAGCCTGATCAGACCACAGTCTACACATAAATAGGACTCTAGCTTTTAGTTTTCACTTTTTGGGGGGTTTTTAAGGTAAGACGTTATAGTTTTGTGGCCTATATAAAGAGTGTAATTTTTTAAATAGTAAATCTAGGGATACAATGTTAACCACTTGTCCACTCTGTCATTTTCTAAGAATAACACTGCACTTTTGTACAAAAATGAAATACGGAGTCTAAGAAATAAAGAATGTACTTCTGTTTGCACTCTTGCAGTATGGAGACTGTGCTGTAAATACAGGATTGTTTCTGTGATTGAATTCTGTTGCATGAATGCTGCATGTGAAAATAACTAGATTCAGCATTTCATTTTCTGTTTATGAAGTATTTTTCATTTGTGCTAATGATAAGGTTCCACGTTTTCAATGTTCAAATGAGGTTGGTTTGGGAAATGCAGGTGTTGTGCAGGTATTGTGCAGGGAATGAAGAGCTTGCAACACCCTGTGTGTTCACAGGATAATTAATTTCTTCCTTTCTGGAAATTCAGGGAGTCTGTAAGTTGAGAATTGGTTCGCTCTGGCCTTTGTAGACAGCTGGGAGAAGGGAGTGACTGTAAAATGTATTGGTTTGGTAGCTGTTGTTATGTGTAGTCAGTGAATGAAACCAAATGAATTAAGAATGCTGTTGTACAGTATAAAGCTGCTTTTTTTAACGGGTCTCTTTTATGTTCTTGAGGCAAGTTGCAGAACTTAAAAGCTCCATGTGCATACGGGCCCTGTGTTATCTGCAACATACTGAGTACTGTCACAGTGGTTATAAATCCAGCTGTTCCAATGTGTTCCAGCTTTTGCTTTGGATTCTTCTTCCCATTATGTCATTTTGAAAAATTATAGATTATGGTAGTGGGTCATTTTAAAGTAAATTTAAATCCATGTTGATTTTAAAAGATGAAATTAATTGATTATCCAAAATCAAGAGTAGGGCTAATTTGTCTGTTGTTCTGATGGTCATATATTCTGTACTGTATGTCATGATCCAGTTTCAGTCAATGTAAGAACACACTGTGCAATATATATTTAAGCAATAAAACCCAAATTTAAAATCAATCTTTTCTAAGGTGTCAGTTAATTTTTATTGCTCACAAATAAAATGTCACTGACATTTTTTAGCATTTAAAATAGGCCTCATTTTTTTGTCCTTGCAAATGTTTATAGCATTGCAGCATTGTTAAACTACTTTTAGTTTTTTTAGTAGTTTAACACATTTAGTAGTTTAGTACATTGCTAAGGCCACCAAAATTTGAGAAAGGAACAATACAAACATAATTTTCTAGTAGCAAATAAGCTTCAAAAAGATAAGCTGTGCTTTTCAGATCTGCCTTCCTGGTTAGAAAGCATATTGACTTTGTATTATCAGTTTGAAGGAAGAAAGTTGTCAGCGTGTGTGAAAATCTGCATGCAGTTCACCCACAGGGAGCTTTCTTCAAACAGTGGTGCCATCTAATGGGGCTGAGTATTACACTGATGTTTGTTACTCACTTCTTCTGGGAGCGCCCATTTACTGAAATACTTATTATTTATTTTAATAGTGCACCCTGAGAGAAGGGGGAAGAACAATTCTTTATTTCTATTTTGAGGAAATTGGGACCTTCTGTAGCTTGCATGACACACATATGACACTCACGTCAAAAAGCTGTTTGCAGGGTGGATACCACAGCTGAACTCATTCTGGGAGGTGATGACTACAAACTGAACTCACCTTTCGAGTTGGCAGGGTGAGCATGCCCTTCCTGCACACCCTGATGCACAGATGCTCTGTTGCTAGTACTCCTGGTCACTACTGCTCCTTAGGCTTCTTCTTGTAAGTAGTTGCAATGCCCAGGCCTTTCCAGCATCTCCCATGTAGGCTGACTGCTTCAATTCTGCAGCATTTCCCAGCCTCAGGAAGCCCCTGTACATGAAGATCTGCTGTGCTGGAGCAACTCCCCTCAGCAACTGACTGAAAGCCTCAGTTATACTCTATATAAATCTTTTATTCTAAGAGCAGGTTTAAAAAGTGAGGGAAATTTGGAATATTTTTAATAAAAATATTTTGTAAGTATTATTATTTTGCTTCCCACCTCCCCAAGTTAATAGTAACAAAAAGTATGCCTTTGTTAAGCAAACTGAAGCATTAAGTGTGAGAATTCTTAGAGACCTTTCTAATTCCAAGAGGAAGTAAGACAGGTATGACTTGATCCTCAAATCAATTATTAAATTTGCTTCTGAACGTTCAGGATCACACAAACCTGACTCCTTAACAGTCAAACTTACGAAGAACAGTACGTAAGACAGGCAAACTTTGACATCAGTGTTAACCTTCTTTTTTATCCTGCTGTAGGTTTGCAGGCTCAGGATTGTACAACTTGGAATCCAAGTGTCTCAGGTAACACGTTATGTTGTGATTAACATCCAAACGCACCCCAAGTGGGAAGTTAAATGACCTTGTTTATTTCTGGTTCTAATGTCTAAGATGCTTAGGAAGTCAGGCTGGGACATAATGCAGATCTGAACCCAAACCCTGGACACAAAGGTGGTTGGGAGGGATGTCAGGCTTTCTTTCTCTTGGTGCTCAGCACAGGAAAAGCTATTGCTGAGGTTGAGGTGCTGTTACTGCTTCTCAGGGAGGGAGTTATGGTCCTAGGGACCACAGATGTTGTTGAAGAGTATAAGACAAAGGAACACCAGTATGATTCAGCTGTATGAAAGAGTGGTTGTGGCCAATATAACTTAAAAGATCTCACAAGTGATGCAAACACAGCACAAAGTCAGTTATGGTAGGTCAACAGATAAATGGTCAACCAAGTGAAAAGGACATGATTGCTTTTGATCAAGAATTCGAACCTTCACTTTTTCAGTCGGGTGTGTTTACAGAGGAAGTACCTTATTACTATGGGTTTGATTTTGCAAATGCATGCTCAGATAAAAAATGAAAATCACACTGAATAAAATGTTATCTGTCCTTTTGGACAGGTCACCTTCTGGATTTAAGTGGTGTGTTTGCACTGTGTGTGCTATACAACTGAAATCTAATGGGAAAGATTCTACCTTTGTGTGCGTCTTTCACGTCAAAGTAATAAGGTTGCTGGTGAGTTTGACCCTAGCTGGGTTTATTTGTTGTTTAGCTTTGTTATTATTAGCCAAGTTCTAGTAATTTAATTTCTTTTGACAATATTTTATGATCAAAGCATAGTGTAGATTAACACCTTATCAAGTAAAAGGACGTATATATCCTTTTATACTGCTGTTGTCTGATAACTGGTGAATCTTATGAGGGGTGAGTTTGGAAACAAAAGCAATCAAACTTGGGTTTAGTAAAAAGCAGAAAGCATTATTCCAGCTTTACATGACATACTCTGGAATGCATCAGTTTTACTTGATCCCAGGTAGCAGATCCTTTAAATTTAATCCCTTTAGTGTAATGAAATCTCCCAAAACTGGAAGTAACCGAGCATAGTACATAGTTTTGGGGCAAAGAATGGGCTTTCTACTGTCATGATCTGATTGGCCAGCAGAAACTCTGCAGGTTGAAATTGCAGTTAGATAGGAAGGGAAGAAGGAACTTATTAACTACCTTGGGTTTTCTTCTGAGTTTCCTGCTAAGCTCAGTAAAGGAAGAACATCTACAAAAGGAGCTGGAGTAGTTGCAGATTAGTTTAATTAAGAACCTGAAATATTTAGCCACCATAAGCAAGATCCAGTCTGAACCAACTACGCAGTTAGCAAAATCAGTCTTTGATCACAGCAGTTTTTACGTAGAAATCAAATGAAATTATACAGAACAGTGTGAAATAATCATTTACACATTTAAACATCTGACCTAAGTAGGTGATCCATAGCGCTGACCTCACTATGGTAAGAAGGTATACAGCCTAACATCTAATACTTAGTCTATGATTATGTCACTTGTGTGCTGGAAAGTGTAAGGCAGGCACTGGAGTGATAAGAAAGAGCAAGGTATGCAGTGACCGACTGTGAAAGTATCCATGTTGTTCCTCAAGTGTATAGTGGTAGTTGGTTATCTGCCTTCATGTTGCACAGCTCTGGAGTTTCCAATGCGATGGTGTGTATCTCTCTTTGCTCTTCTTAATACGCTCCCCAGTGGGCCTTCCTCCTCACTGCTCTCCTCGGAGCTGGAAATCCCTGTGCCTGTTCCTGTGCCTGTTGAAGGCCTTTCATAAGGGTCACTTTGACATGAGATTTTCTCCTCTTGGCACTCTTGCCTGTGTGGAAGCTTAAGGCTTTCATTGAAGAAGGCAGAAGCCATGCACTCGGCAGCTGTCTTATCACAAGTGCATAGTAGTTTCTCACACATGCTCCAACCAACACCTGAAAAAGAAAGTTCAGAATTGTTTGATTGAAGTTAAAGTTAGTCAATGTGTGATTTGCCATGGGAAGATGAGCTTTTGAAAAGAAAATTTTCCAATCTTTCTTAAATTTTAGTTTCCAAATTCACCTTTTACCATCTAAATATAAGCCTGACAACAAGGCGCTGGGCAACTGAAGGTGCGACTGGCTTTAGTTGAACTTGTTAATGTAAAGACACCAACAGCTGACTTCTCTCTCCAACCAAAAAATGTCTTGAGTGTAGTTTTCTCAGTCTGACCAGGTCACATCATACACAGTGATGTAATACCCTTTATCTCAGCTAGGAAGAAAGCTCAGGTTTATAGTTAGCATTGCAAATGTTTTGTAAGCCAAATTTTTGTGTCTCTATACTCAGCTCCAGCAGCTCACATGGTGACATTTGGTCTGTAATGCTTCAATACACTGTCATCAGGACATTGGAAGTTTACTTACAGTTTGGCTTATGATCGAAACACACAACTTCAGATCTTGAACTTCTTTCTGCATGACATCCAAGTTTCATAACTTGTTCTATACAACAGCGATGAGAGAGGCAGCACCTGAAATAAACATTAGATGTAAGTGAAAAATGCTCCTTACATCACAGAGTAGTCACAATTATTTTACTTCTTTATTTTCAATGTCTGTTAAAACTAAAATCTCAGTTTTCATATAATGGAAAAACACTCTCCATCAAAAAGTAAAATAACCCAAACTGTTCCTACTGTCCTCCCGTACCTGTAGTTTCTTAAGGGGTTCTGTTTTAATTTTAACATATATTACAATTGTAACTGTCACCTACTAAGTGCTGTACTTAGTGGGGCCTCAATGTGGCCCCAGCTATTATGAACTTCCACACAGGGAGAGATTTTTAGTTTTAAATGCAACGCTCTCAAGGGAGATTCCTTTGGTTGAATTCTCTTCATTGCTCCAGAATTCAAACTTAAACAAGGAGGATTTAGGTGAGATATAAGGAAGCCATTCTTAACTGTGAGGGTGGTGAGGCACTGGAACAGGCTGCCCAAAGAAGCTGTGGCTGCCACATCCTTGGAGGTGTTCAAGGCCAGGTTGGACGGGGCTTGAAACAACCTTGTCTAATGGAAGGTGTCCCTGTCCATGGCATGGGGGTTGGAACTGGGTAAAATTTAAGGTTTCTTCCAACCCAAACCATACCATGATTCTATGAATTCCTGCTCTTGGTCAGCCATGCCGTGACAGTACATGGTAGCCACAGCAGGTCTCTTGGCTGCAGCTCTGGCATTCACTTGTGCTTTACACTCTTCTGAAAGACAGGGTGGCAAGGGTGTATAACTCTTCATAAACCATTTTCCAAACTGCCTCTTAGCCAAGTTTCACAGCATCTTTTGATACACTCTTCCTTCTGCTCTACTTACTTCCCATCATTCTCCTTTCTTGAGTCAGTAAGTCTCTTCAAAACATTGAATTGATGCAATAATAGAATGTCTTAGTGACATCAAAGAATTTATGTATTTAAGCGGATTTCTCCCCCCCCCCCCCAAAAAATGTGGGAAAAAAATGTGGCCTCACTACTGGTACCTAGCTATACAAGGCCCAACAAAAGCAATACTGATCTTTGTTGGTCCATAAGCACCCAATAATACCCACAGGTAATAGCAGATTATAGAAGAGCCCACACCTGTCCAGTGCATCAGCCGGATAACCTCTCCCTTCTTGGCCACAGTAGCAACCATAAGACTCAA